AACACAGACTTACTGCAGCAGCTAAAGTTCATACACACTAACGTTATCGTAATGTTATTTTGTACATGGCTTCTCAGTTATCTCTCAATAAAGTGCAAATGCTAGTCTAAATTGAAATAGAGTTTAAGTTGTTTTTGTTCGCTACTACTGGCTTCTCCTACGTGCTACATGACGTTACACTGGTTGTAATGTTTCGACGGTGGCTTATACCAGGAAACAATGGAGTCAGCTCCTTTCCCCTGATTGTACTTAAAATTATGCTCCTGATTTTGCATTATGCTGCATTTAGTGGCTCAGTTTAAGAGTGTTTCAGAACCCTTCCACCTCTCGCAGGGAAGATGGGCGCGTAGACCTGGTAGAGGAGCTTGGAACTTATTTTCGTTTTCAATTTCATTTCTGCTGTGGCGTTTTGCAGAGATATTCACATACTTTTGGGTAGGTGTTCAGAAACTTTTGCTCTGGTGAGTATAAACGATTTCTGTATTATATGATAGTCAAACGACAACTGACAACTATATTTTAATCTATTCCACTCCCTGAACTACATGTAGATTACAATAAGCATTTTTAGATTAACTTCAATGAACGTTTGTAATCAAAATGCGGCTGAAAATTTTTAATCTATTCCACTCCCTGTCTTTTACAATAAGGGAACGTTTGCGAACAATCAAACCATTGTGTGTTATCTCTGTCTAAATCTCGTACCAGATTTCCGCATAATGGTCCCCACACCCATAAACGCCACAGGGAAGCTATTGCCTAAACCTCTCATCACCTGAACTTTTAGCGATAGGAATGGGTGGATGGAAAATAATACTTTGCTGCTTTCTTTCTTGGAGGATCTCTCGTAAGAGGAAAAGATTCGAACGATTACCCACGGAAAACGACGATAAAAGAGAAGGTGAATAAAGCACCCGATTTTAGCATAATGCACATTTTCTTAAATTCCAGAGAACACTGCTTAAGAGAGCAGCTATATATTGGCAAATCAATTCTTGATTTTATGCGCGTATAGACTTTGATATCTGTCGTGAGTTATTTCCCATTTAAACTGAAATCACTACTCCTCTATCGATGACATTTGATGGCAATTTAGCTAAGAGGATAGCTAAAGATTTGATTATTTCTAAATTGTTTGACCTTACAACCGCAAGAAGACTGAATTGTAAGACCCAAACAATCCCCTTCCTTGCACATTTCAGCCAAATGAGATGATCAAATGATCAGGTAAAACTCGCGTCGTTCTTATCTTCCTTCTCCAAAGTGATGTTCTAAATTTCTTCGAGGATGTTGGCGTTAGAGAGTGACGGTATTAATCTTCCTTCCCTGAAGCATTTGACCAACATTACGGCTAAGAGCCTTTAGGCAGTCTTCTACTCTCATATCATACTAAAACATAGTTAAACACACATACCATACTTCAAATTTGATGGTCGGATTGATCTAACTACATTGCAAACACTTGCTCTTGAATTTGTTAAGAACACTTCCAAATTATGCGTCATTTAATTGTAGCGCTAAAATTTCCATCGCGTAGAATGCTATTGTCTTTTGCGACATGTACTTACAGTGCCCAGTTTATCAACGAGCGGAATATCAATTTGCATATCTAGAACTTATCAGCTGTGATTGGTCAACAAATTTAGCTTTGGGAATTATTGAGTCGCACTGCAGATTTCAGCTTTTCTAAAGGTCGGCTGCACTGTTCACAAAGCGTTTGCAGATTCGACTATATTTTTATTTGACTCAATAGACGACTAACAAACTCCCGTTGGTCAAAACTTCATCTGAATTATCGAAATTGTTTCATGTCGACCCGGTTGTTTAGAACCTGCCATTCTTTTCGAGTTTGAAAGGCTGCGGCAAGGGAGTAGAAATAGCGGTGCTCAATCAGCGATTTACCCATGACTAAGTGAATTGTTTTACGTGAACTTAGCAGTGCGATGCATAAGTCATTTGTTTTTATTTGAAACGCACACTTTTACTCCAGAAGTTAGTCTTTCTTGTTCCTGAAAAGAAAAGAAGAACAAAGGGTCACAAAAACATCGAGAGAAAAACAAACAAATAAGCGACCACCTGAAACAGCTTCGCGCCTGAGGGAATAGTTGGTTAATTATTCACACTTGGATCCGTTTTGATAAATAAAAACATATGAAAAGGACAGTTGACAATTAATACCTTCGAGTTAACATGTCGAAGCGTGCGAGACATCAACCAGGCTTTTACGCAACGTTACTGAATAATGTTTGCGATCGTACCTCTAATTCAAAATATCGTCCGAAGGTAAAGCCAACTGTAATGGGCGTTTCCGAAGTAGAGCGTGTTGTTGCAAAACGAGTTAAAGGAAGAAATATAGAATATTTCATCCATTAGCAGAATTACTCCCCTAGTGAAAATATGTGGGAACCAGCCGAACATTTACCGGAAGATCTCATCGCTGCCTTCGAGAACAGGTCTGTCGATCCACTTCGCGCCGATGAATGTAGAGAGAGATTGTCTCTACTATTCGATTCAGTGAATCTGCTGACTCTCAGGAACTGTTCAAAGAATGTAGAAGATATTGTCAGCGTTGGCTTCTTGTTTCTTTGTGACAATACAAAATCTGTTGTATTAATTTGTTTTGACTTCAGTGACTCCCAAGCTTGCATTACATCATACTATGATGTTGCAATTTTCATTTTCGGTATCTGCCCGGTTCGCTTCAATATATTTTCTAGGGGCGTTTTTTCGTTTCCTTTTATGGGCTACAGGCGCATAGGCGATTTATTTCTTCCAAAATAACTACAGTTATGAAGAATATCACCGGACAATCTAGAAGTTTCACAGGTAATTTAGTGTCAACAACTGAGTTGAAAACGTTTATTGGCCACCGGAAAGAGTATAAAGGCCGACATTTCGAGAGTTAGCCCTTCGTCAGAGCGATTGACGAAGGACTAACGCTCGAAACTTCATCATTTAAACTCTTTACGGTGGGAAATTTACGTTTTAAACTCAGTTGTTAACACTAAATTACCTGTTATACTCTCCCACCGACGCAGCAGTATAGTTTCTTTAGAAACTTACCCCCTTTAATCATTAATCCATAAGTTTCGTTTTATTCCGCTGACCTTAGGGATTACCTTGTCTAATTCAATAAATCAACCCCTTGTTCAAATCAGTTCCCGCAAAAGATGAGCAAATTATCTTTACTTCAGATTGTGAGTAACCTAATAGCCTAGCTACAGGTAATAAGTGTCGACATTCTGTATTGCCATGGAAACTATCACCTCAATCGTAGGAGTCTGGGTAAAAACACGAAGATTCAGAGACAGCATTCTGTTGTATTCCGTTCAAACTCTCATACGCTTTAGCAAAGTAGTTTAGTAATACAGTCGACTGTATTCTTTTTTTATGAATACCGGCTTTGAAAGAATTTAATTTTGCAGGTGGTAAAATTTAGGACAATTTGTAAAGTTGTAAAGGACTTTAAGAAGACTGTCATGTATAATTCTATCCATTTTCAGTGAAACAAGTCTGAGGAAGCTCGAAAAATCCAGCAAAAGATCAGAAAACCCCACAATATCATTGACCAAATCGCTTTGTGGTAGTGCTGTGACGATTAAGCTTAGACGAACCTCGAAAATATGCATGCATCGGGATGATTGAGTTAATCGACCTGTTTAGGTGACACAGTTAACTGATGTTAAACGGCGCCAGGTCACTAAATTGGCTATTCTAGATATGTTTTGAAAATAGAAATGTCCTTTTTCGGGCAAAATTCAACTCCTGATGAGTTAAGAGCACTCTACTGAAAGAATATTCTGAGAATTAACTTTTCCGCTTAAACAAAATAATTATTAGTACAAAACGTAACAGGTCTTCTAAAATAGACCGTCGAGTGGGTCACTAATGTAATCGTTTTCAATATTGATTATTTGGTTACGTAAATTGTTTTATCGAAATCACGCAAAACTCTCTGTTTTGATTTTTCTGCTATCAGTAGTTGCCGTGGGATAGTTTCCTCTCAGAAATTAGGCGACCTTCATTAATTTGACCAAGTACACTCCTGTACACACCGCTACAAGACCTTTAAAAGTTGCAAATGTTGTCAAACTTTTTTTTTTAATTATGAATGTTTGTTTTCCTGTTCATAACCGTTAAAAAGAAACGTCAATGAAAATCAGCAATAAATGAATGTGCACTTAAAGAGCCATTTCCCTGCGGCGATCATTTTGAATGGTGGTATGCGTCTTTTTTTTTCAAAGACATTTATCTACGCCATTTCCTAGCCACTGTCTATCGTAAGGCAATTCCAGAATGACAGCGAGGATCAATATTTTTATCGTCCTTTTTCGCGCTTAAGTTAGAGTGGAGTGTTTCGTTTGCGATGTCGATGCAAAAAGGGGACGGGATTGAAGGGGTTTTCAATTTCTTTTGGACGAATTAATCGAGACCTTGAGACGTGTTCGAATATAACTTTCGCCTCTTCATCTCCCACTTGTACGTCGACCGAGCAGGATCAGGACAATTTAAGAATGGTGAGTCATTTTTAAAAATATAGCTATAAAAGATAACTGGTGATGATAACTTAAAACGCAATCAGTTTATACTCTGAAAAAGTGTTCTTTAAAAAACTATAAGGGAGGTAAATTAAATGAAATTGTTAGTAGTCAAGTATATTGCATGGGCAAATGCCTAATCCAATTTAGTCCATTCTGTAGGAAATCACACAAATTACATCTCTTGAATATTTTTCGAAATCTTTAAGAAACCAAAGGTAAACTTTCTCTTGAAATTTTTTGAGGAAATACGCGCTGAAACACGTACAGGGAAAATGAATTTGGGAGAGGAAACGGAAATTTAAAGAATTTTTGGAACAATAGAATAATTTATACGTCACGATCTAATTCTCGACACGTGATCAAGTGTGCACCCGGAAGCCGTGAGAAGTGTCTTTGCCTTGTTGTAGTTCGTTGCGAACGAAATATAACCTTCTCGCATGGTTAAACGCCGACAGAAAGATGTCGAGCTTATCGGAAGCCTGCATCTACGACTGGGATTTGGAGCGAATGCTCATGTGGCTGAGAGAGGTGTGTATTAATTTAGCCTGCCTATAATTTCAAGTGCATACGGTTTGGTATCATAAACGACTAGTTATAAGCATGATGTTGGCCTACAAGCTTGTTCTAGCTATTGTGGTCTCCAATATCGATCTTTGAATGAATTACTCCTGTCGAAAATGGCTGCTATATTGGAGGTTAAGTCCGCTGAAAGCGTTTAGCCGCTCATCAGTCGGGTAAACCGCGGTGAAATCATTCGCTTGTGTTGCGGATTCATTGCACGAATACCAAGGATCATGGTCCGCTAATGTCTGCTGGTCCGCTTTGACGACCTCCAAAGATAGTTGTCGTTTAACCACATCTGTGTGAATAATGTTCCGTGCGAGAGCACATACTTGGTTTTCAACTTGCCTGGTACGTAACTATCTTACGAAATCAAATGAAAATCGAGTCGTGTCTTACGAAATCAGATGAAATCTGGAAAGTAATAAGACATCCATCGTAATTTAAATTAACTTTTCCTTAGGGATAATTCAGAACACATAGAATTAAAGCGCAGGTCATGTCGAAAGGGCACAAATGCTTTTCGCGTAGCTGAAGTCTCGGATCAATACTAGCACGTAACTGCATTACGAATGTTACGGACAGCCTACCTACACTGAATTTAGACTATGGCACGGGAAGGGATGACAACGGAGATATTTTTTACATGGTAGAGGATTCTCGTCTGCTCACAGATGGAGCTCATCAAAACGTCTCGCAAGGTTTTTGTTAGAATACTCAATTTTAACATTAATAGGCCATGCAATACAGCTGTATTTTCGTTGCAACTTTACTATTTGATGACCGATCTCATTATCAGCCCTTCAGGCATTTATTAGTAATATTTTTAATAGCATTAGTTCTGAAGGAAACAAAGAAGGCATTTAGCCGAACCTTTGATTTGAATTTTCTATAGACAGCTGGTTCGACTTGTTTTTAAATGCCTACATTAGCGAAAGGATATGTTACGTTTTGAAATACTTGTTACGGTTCTAAGAGTATTTGATTTGAAATGACTAATGTGAAAATCAAGACTGTGCTTGATTTGCAACACAAATTTATGTAAAAAATCCCTTTCATCTTTCACTTACATGCACCAAAAAAACCAGCTTCAGCACATTTGAGAGTTTTAGAATAACCACTGAATATCGCTGTTTAATGTACCAAAATTTTCTAAAAATACTGTAGTTGTGGGAATTTCAGAAGTTTTTCGTACTACACGGCAAAATCAATACTTAATTTTAAAAATTTAAGAAGCAGCATGATATTAGTACTGAAAATTACTTTCATGTAAAATTATTTTACATTTTTTAATTACGTTACTACTGGCCTTTCTTGAAACCTTTGTCTTATATGCTTTTAATGACTTAAATGATTGTAAAAATAATATTTTCAATGGTCATCAACATGTTTTGTTGACATTAAAGATTCTGTTGTAGCATTCTTTGTGTGATGTAAGCATGGAATTCATTTGACCAAAGATGACTTACAAGTGATTGTGATCATATGGTGGAATAATGCATTTTATATGTAGAGAAACTGTGAATGTGTGAGACGGTTGGAATCCTTAAGATAGAGCTGTTTCACAATAATGATATTGTGCAAGTCATGTATAATGATTATTATTCTAATTATTCTTGTCACCATAATTGGAAAATTTTGTCAGAGGAGATTAAGTTAATTCTTTTCCATCTTTGAGATTAAAAGTGCTCTTTAAAATTTTAATGAATTATCAACTTACTGTGACAAATAATTGCTATCATGTTTCTTTTTGTTAGAACATAATTCCTTGCAGGCTATTTGACAATACATGTTACTGCAGTTGTAAATGCACTGGACTGTAATGTTAGAGCAGTTTGTGAAGGGATATTTCTTGGGACATGCTGACAATGGTTTACTCACCTTGTTATTTTATGGACCAGAAAAATAATAATTATGTTTCTTGGATTATGGATTGAATCATACTTAGTAAACATTACAACTGGTATACTTATAGCTTTTACTTACTACCCTTACAGGAGAATCTTCATGACTGTGTTCAGCCTTTCTCTTTCAAAAAGATAAATGGAATACAATTTATGGTAGGTTGATTTTCCTGCTTCTTTACTAACAAACCTGTAAAAATATTATATAAGGAAAGATAACAATGTAACCCATAATTACAAATCATAAAATGTGTTATAGGAAAAGAGGGTAACTTGTAACATGCAGTAAAGCCATGGTAACTTAGATTTTGAAGGGAAACGAAGAATGGTTCCAGTCAGTGGGAGTTCTAGTTATCGGGAGTGGTTTTCAAGAAATCATGTTTTTACCATTCTTGCACAATCGCTGTCAATTTTTTTTTACATTAAGTTAGTTTCATAAGAGCTTATTGATAGGAAAGTGTAGTTTAGGAAGTTTAGCTGAATGTAACGAGCTTTCATAACTGTTGGCATGTTTGTATCAATTGGGGTTAACCATCGTAATTTGTCAATCAGCTATGTTCAGACACTTGAGCCTTTATAGGAGAAATTTGAGACAAAGGAAAGTAAAATTAGTTTGAGTCAATGGATGATTCAAATTAATGGAGTTTGAGTCAGCTGGTAGCAAATGGCAGAAAACATGGGGTCAATTCTAGGGGAAATTGCATTTTTTTTCGAGTTCACTGAGTTTAAGGTAGCACTCCAGGGTTCTACTGTACAATGTATATTTCAAGCTCTTGCTAAAAGTGTCTTATGTAAATTTTGTGGACATTGATTTTGTTACTAACCTTAAACTTTCAGAATTTATCAGATAATGATATCAAGTCTCTGCGCATCTCACAAGAAAGCAAAAGGTAATTTATTCCACTTTTGTTATCATTATTTGTTGTTTGATGGTTTATAATTGAGTTATTAATGCAGTATTAATTTTTTTGTTTCAGAAAACTGGCAAAAGTGCTGAAAAGAATCAAGGGAAAGAGACAAAGTGCCCGTAAAAGGTGGTTATACTTTAATAACCCTTTAACTTCCACGAGTGACCAAGACAGAATTTCTCATTACAACATCAATGCAAAATCAAGCAGACAAGTGATGAGGATAAAGAAAAATACCACTTAGGCGGTCATAAGTTGATCCAAATTCTCCAAACTAACATTACAAGAACTGTATGGCAGACAGTAAGGAGAATTATTGATGAGATCTTGGGAGCTAAAAGGGTTTAGATGCCCCAAGTGTCATTTTCATTGCTTCATGTAAAGAGCAAAGGAGTCAAAATTCGACAATATGTTGATTTTTTCTTCTGTATTTCAGTTTGCCATTTTTAAATTTGTTTTGGAGAGTTGCTTTTAAAATGCGTATATGCTGACCTAAGTAAGAGGTGGTGTGTTTTTGGAAGGAGGATCTCAACATTTTTGCTGCTGGTTCAGTTGCAAGCTTAGCTACCACTAAATCACAGCATTTCTCTAACAACAGTGAACAATAATTAATGATTTTTTTTTTTGGTAGGTTTGATGGAGATTCCTCGGGATTAAAAGAGAGAAGAAAGCCACCTGCATTACCAGCTCATGTACATGATGAAGAAGGTAATTGTTATGGAGAAGTTTATTTTTCATTATTATAAGGGTTTTAAAACAATTTTAGTGTTCTCCTTCGTTTTAAGCATGACTGGTAAAAGAAATTCTTTGGATGGTTGAATTTTCAAGAATATCCAAGCAATTATAGACAGTAATAAGAGGTGTGGTACTACTCCAGCAGTTGAAAGGAAGGGCAAATATTGGTATCTGTAAACTATACATAAAGCTAACCCTGTCAAAAATAAATGTATTCATTGTTATTAAGTGATACTTCTAAGTATACACTAAAAAGTGGATGAGGTTGAAGGTGCATTCTGATTGGTTGCTACTCAAACTCTGAGTGTTCTTTTACTCTTCACCCCTAAGCAACTCTCGCTAGTGAATATTGTTACTGTTACAGGAAAAACTGAGTTGAAATCATTTTTTGGTGCTATATTATCTCATTGTTTCAGTATTACTAATAAAAACAACCATTCACTTCTGTGTCGGTAGTTAGCAATGATGTTTACCTCACTGCTTTGCAGTCACCTTCATTTCAGTGAATAGTTGTCAACTATCCATCTGACTCTTGATTATGATGAAATAACTGTTAATTATTGTTTTCACCAATGAAGCAGAAAGTGATGATGGCTGGGCAACTGATGACTTTGACGATGACCCTGATGAATTTGAAGAGGTATAGAACAACTTGCTGTCATTAACACTTAAACTATTGAGACCCAACTCATCATACTCTTTCCTGTGTTCTGATTTCCATTGAGTGTTAAAACTGATCCAGGATTGCTTCTACCACTTCATAACCAGTTAAACTCAAATTTAAATCCAATTGATTTATGGTTACTTGACTGTGTTATCCTGTGCATGTTTCAGGCAGTTTGTTGGTTTTTATGCTGTATTCTTATTGGCTCTGTGTGATATTTTCCCATATTCTTATTGGCATTGCATGTGATCACTTTTGCTGGTGTTGGTTTTGGAGGCACTTGATCAATCAAAAAGCACTTTGAATGTAGTTATTTGGTATTTCTTGAGATGAGAAATTTTGCTAGTACTTTTCATTGTTGATTCCAGGGTACTGTTTGTTAGGAAATAATGCATTGAAAATTGTAAGGATGATGTTACTTGTTGATCCTTCACGTTTGTCTTGCTATTTGCAGGCCTTTTCCCAACACACCTATAAGTCCCTACACTTCATTTCACTATCCTTGTAATGCACTAATTTGTGTCAGTGGTGATGGTAATTTGCTGAAGATTATCAGACAAGTGATATTGTCAATGAATTGAGTATGATTTGAACTGAACTACTGGTCATTTAATTTGTTATCTTTCAGGAGGAAAGTGATGATGAATCAGGAGGGGAGTACATTGAAGCTGAAGAGAATGAAAGCTTAATTTCCTCTCCAGGTGAATTCATCAACAGTAAATTTTTATTAATGGCCCTGCGACAAAGTGTTAACCATTTCATTCCCAAGATCTCATTAGAAGCTCTCCTTTCTGTCTGCCATAGAATATTTATGATATTGGTTTAGAGAGTTTAATATTGGATCCAAAGGATCTCCTAATTGATTGATAATCATTTAAAACATTGCTAGATATGGTTGTTAATGGCCTAGCATGATATTATTGATAATGTGATGCAAATAATTATGTGGCAAAATTGTTAGCAACTGGATACAAAACTATGGTGGACTCCAGGCCCAGGTTGTTTGAAGTTTGGATAATACTATCCAGTGGGTAAATCTCTATGCAGTAGATAATGCTACGCGTTTTGCTATCACTTATCTGCTGGATAGCAATTTATCCACTGGATAGCGTTATCTGCCCTTTATACAACTGGGCCCTAGCCTGGGTTGTTCAAAGCTTGATTAAGATAACCCAGGGTTGGTGTGAAATTTGATTTCAGGTCTGAAAGCTTTAAAAGGAAATTCAGGTTAAATCTTTTTGCTTGCAATTTGATCATTGGATGCTCTTAAAAGAACAGGGGATATTTTCCCTCAGCTAAAAGGCTTTTGAATAAAGAAATAAAGAAACCTGCATTAAAATTAATCCCTGGGTTAGTGCTAACAGGCCTTCAAACAACTGGGCCCAGTAGTACATGTAACCTAGGCTCAGAAAATTTTTGTATGCTTGATTATTAATTTTCAAGTGATAAGTCTGTAATAATAAAAGAAATCCTGATATCTGTTTCTCCTTCAGAGTCCCCATCCAAGGAAGTCCCCAAAGTTCCATTGGGTCTGGTAAGAAAATGCAAACTCATTAATAATAACTAAGTTAACAAATGTTGATGGCTAGAAGTAGTGATTTAAAATTTTTTTTTTTGAGGGGAATGGCTGCCATTCTCCGTTCTGAATTCATTTTTGTTATTGAGAAGTTTTACTTTTCTGCTACACAATAGGTTGCACAGCTAAAGGCTGGCTTAAATGGAACTGTTGGAAGAGCACCATGTATAGTTCCTTCAGAAATTCCTCGCACTAAGGTCAGATAGTGTGCAAGCTGACAATCAATCATGATTGTGAATTTTATAAAAATGACAATCTCAGGTTTTTTGTTATACAAAATGGAAATTATAGTTAACCTTATCAATTTGTTTAAATGTGTTTTTCCTTAGATTAATTGGTCAATATAGTTTCATCAAGTTGTCTGGGTGATATTTAAGTCCTTAGACTGTTGTTGGTAGTGGTCACTGACATTTCTATAACTTACAGTGGAATTCATTGTCAGAATCATTGTCATGATTAGAGTACAGTGGCAAAATTTCAGTTACTTTGAGTAGCAACAGCCCTCTTACAGACTACTCTTGCCTAAACAACAAGACTACATGACTGACTGTTATCTGTTACTCCTGACTTCAAAGCCTTTACAGAATTGTATTTTATAGACAACAAGGAAGCCCAATACCTGGTGGTTAGTCAGCTTGTCAGGCATACCTTACATGTATCTAGAACTTACAGTGAACTACAAGATAATGTAAAAAACAGGTTCGACCCATGATCTTGTATAACGGGTCAAAGGCATAAAAAATATTTCCCATCCAATTGAAACACCCAAAGATCTTCACTTCATTTCAAATAGCTGTCAGTAATGCAGACAGCAAACTTCTGATTCTTGCTGTTTTCTGTTAGACAAAGTGCTTTCTTTTAATCCTACCACTTTTATTAATAATTAATATTTAGAATTAACTGACCTTGTCAGATGTGATTACTTTTGTACAGAACTTCTGAAATCATTCCCCTTGATAGCTGTACAAAAAAATCAGTTTGAAATATAATAAATAACTTATAATAAAAGCTTACACATGCATCAACTGGAATGATACATGGTGAAAACTATTAACTATACTTTACCAATGACTCTTTTGAACCTCAGTCTACAGTTTATTTTAAAATTGTCTAACTTTTAAGCAAATCCTAGCTTTGATATTTTGAGGTATTTGTGGAATTTTTCCCTCGCTTAAGGAAGTAAATTCTGATTGGTGAACCAGTTTCATTTTTGGAAATAGTTGGATGATACAGATAGTGTGGGGATGATATAGGTCATGTAAGAATGTTTGACCAATACTTCGCACACAAAATGAAGAATCAATCTTGACTGGAAGGAAATTTTTGAAGTGAAAATTATCATTCCAATTACTTTGCATTTGAGGATACTAGATTCCTTGTTCCCTGTTAATATTAAAGAAAAGTTTGTTCAGGCATGGTGAGAAAAAATGTTAAACTTATTGCCATTTTAAGGTCTCTGCACACTAAATGTATCTTTAGGAAGAATATCATTTTCTGCCAATACTAGTGCATAAATAGTACTTTGTGCGATTGTGTGATTGTGTTACTGGTTGATTTCAGCTGAAGCTGGCCGAATCAATGGTACTAAAATATATAGCTTTTGAAGTTTGTGAGGAAACAATCTTTACTTCATAGTTATTGTCATCATTTATGTCAACAGACAACACCAATGCCATATGATGATGACGATGATCAAATATATGATGAACCTCCTGAAGGTATGTTGTGTTTTCAAGAGCCTGTCAAGTTTATTGAAAATTTCCTTGTAATTTTTCTAAGCCATTGAGATGTATAAAAAGCCTTTGGCCTTCATCCAATGTGAAAAAATTCTGAAAAAGGCCCAGTCATGTAACCTATATGTTAATGTTTACGTGACATTTTGACCATAATGTTTAAATGTTTTGTTTTCTTTGTAGAAGTTTATGAGGAACCAAGTGATGATTCAGGATCAGGTTAAGATACTTAATTTTGAAGTAGTTTTGTTGGTTACTTATTGAGCCTGGATATTGAGTTTAGGTATTGATGATAATTATTGTTTAAATATGAACGTTTACAGGAAAATTGATCAACTAGAATTCAGAGACCTTTGAGAAATGAACTTTAGATACAGTAAAAGTTACTGTAAAACAAAATATTTCCTTTGATAAGAATGTTGTTGTCTTTTTCTTTCCTAGTGAAATAGAGTTGGTAGATCACCAAGTGAACTTAATATAAAGGATTACATGAAATAAATTATGTGTGAAAAATTTCTTCTCTTTGAAGACTAGGAGCAATGAAAGATTACTCAAGTCAAGTTGTTCTTTTTGTAATGAGATAGAAAAACAATTATTGGTAAAAGAGAAATCCAATGTTAAGCAATCTTTTATAATTTTGAAGGGTTGCTTAATTAAAGTGATCTTACTTTAATTTGTTTTTGAATTTAGGAATTGTAGTACGTCCCCAGTGTCACAAGAAAATAATAAGATGTGATTCAAGTGAGGGATATATTGATGCAAGGGTAAGAATCAATACAAGATATTGTTCTAATTGCAGATAACTCCAAATCATTGGTCATGAAAGATGGACTCTGCTCCAATATGCTATTTGTTAAGAAAAATGTAAATAGATTTCTTAGCAGCCAAATTTGGTAAATGACTCACCTCTATTTGGTAATCTGAAGGGCTGCATCTAGCTAGATGTTGTTTCAGCCACAGAGGTGATTTTATTTTGAATTTGGAAAAACAAATTGAAAAAAACCATCAGAAACTTTAATCCGTTCCCAATAATTTGATACATGTATAAATTCTGCCTACAGTCTGTCAAACATTTCCTTTACTACTGGCTCTTAGAATTTACAGTGATGAATCAATCATTGTGCTGTAGCTGCTGTAGTTGATATTTTGATTTCTCTTTGTGTCACCTTTCTGCCTGATGAGATTTCAAAATTGTGAGGAGAGGTTACGTTTTGGTCACTCGTGTTAGTGATAGAGTTAAATATGATATATTTCAGACCCTCATTTAATGCTTGGCCCTTAGGATTGACTAGCATCTAATGTCTCCTGGTGATATCTTCACCGCATCACACACACTAAGGTCATGAGAATAAAGGAAATGATCATCAATTGAATTAGAAGCTTTTGATTTATTAAAAGAATTCTCTTTTCATCAGCACAGAAAATCTATAGAAAACAGTATTGAGAATATGGATACTGATATTAGGATGTAAAGACTTAACAGTATGAGTTAAATGATGAATGTGCCAGTTGGAGCATTTCTTCAATTGTGCAATAATTAGGATTATATTTGATGGGTGGAATTATTAAGAGTGTTTTTAAAAGCAATGAGTTACTCAACTGTCTCACTAATATGACTTCCATTCTTATTTTATCAGTCTACATCAGTTATTCCAGAAGAGCCAGGTAATATAATTGTTTGGAAGTGAATTCATTACAACTTTAAATTAAAATATAATTATTAATTATTATATAATTTTTTTTCTGTAAATCATGCCTTTTAAATTAAGTCCAGTTCATTATCTCAGTTCTTTTACTTCCATGAAAAGTCTACAGCTACGAATAAGGAATGCCTCTTCTGAATATACAGGTCTTTCAAGCAATTAGGAAATTGAAAGGAGTACTGTCAGTCACTTATATATTAAACATCTTTAATTTTTAAGTTACAATATTATAAGGGGCTCCAAAACCAATGCTGCTGTGAAATCTCATGAAACCAAAAGATGTCAGGTCCAAAAAATTTATAGTATTTGATTTTAATTTAATAAGATTGACATTCTGGTCCAAAAGGTAGGCATTTAGTCACTTAGTCTAATTTTGTAAGTTACAATCATATACAACTCCATGCAGTCACTGAATCTTGTGTATAAGTCAGGTTTACCAGTAGACTAATCCTGGTTTGTTTGGTTTTATTTTCCCTCAGTTCAATGTCCTCCTCCTGCCCCTGCCCGACCTCCAAAACCTGGATTTTTAAAGGCTAAAAAGCCAGCACCAGTGATACAACCAGAGCCAGTAAGATAGAATTTTGGTTGTATTGGATAGTTTTGTGCACTGGACTTTTTTTGTGAAACTTTTAAATAAATAGTCTCTTAACCAAAGGAAACTCTTCTTATGAGTATTTCTCTCATTTTTTTCTCAATTTACCTCAAATTCTACAACATGCAGGTTTTGCAATGTGTTTGGTTTAGAGCTACATGAGTGATAAATTCTTCTCTGCATCTGTACATTCAATTTCTATTCACCCAAGCCTCAGTTCTAATCTGAAATTTTGAACCAGTTTAGTGCACCTAAATGTATTGCAAATGGACTATTACCATAATGAATTAAAACTATCCACAGCACTACAATAATCAGGTTCATAATATTGCTTGGAAATCACAGACAGATAATTTGCAAGAAAACGGATAAAGGATTTGAAGGAATTACCTCCCCAAGAAGACAACTGTCCATACTGTTCATTGTTTTGAGGAAGTTTTTTATATTCTTCCAAACAATATTAATAGAGTTTGAAAGTACTGACAGAGGTATTCACAAAATGCCTCTGAATTCTTTGGAGTATATAGGACTACAGGGGGTTTTTAGAGATCCAAGAGCACAGTGCTACCCAAAAATTTCTCATCTAAACATGATTATCAAGAGAGATGGTTAGTTTCAAGTTTGGTTTTCAGATAAAGAAAGATGTCAAATATTGTCTCTAGTGTGTGATTTTGTTAGTCTTAACTGACTACTCTTTGAGCCTTCATTTCCAATTTGTAATACAGAGCATTTCAAATACTCTTTTATTAAATAAATATGCTTCAGTCTAGTTTTTATTGCAATTTTAGCTTTAATAATTAATGTACATCTATGTTTGTACCTTTTCTTTTGGGCATTAGGGATTTTGTGATACTTGTTTTGTAACACTTGATATTTATTTTATCTGTGAAATAAAGACCATCATTATTATTGGTTAATGGTAATACAGTCAGGATGTTTTTGACACTGCTGATCCTAGCTGTATGGAGTTGTGGGAAACTTGTTACATGAGTAAGTTAGAATTTATGGCCAGGCTCACAAAAAAATTTACTACCGACAGCTACATGGCAGAGAAATTTGAAAGCAATGTGGCAAGGTCTGAGGTTTGCATCTTGATCAAGGACTCAGATTTTTTATTTGTCCTGTGTTTGTGACAAGATCCCATGTCAGTTCTGACAAGAAACAACAACTCTTTTCAATTCAATACCTAGTACTGCCCTAAGACAAACATTTTATTTGGGTTTGCATCAGATATATAATGAAATGAAAATTAACTGTCAAATTTTAAATTTGAATAATCCAGGAAATATATGATGAGGTGCCAGAGGATGATGAACTTGGGAGAACACAAGTTGTGGATCAGGAAACATATGAAGTCCCCGATGACATGGAAGGAGGCCAACAGTCTTCAAAACCATCACAGTATGAAGGAGATGGTGAAACTTATGAAGTACCTGAACAAGAGGACCAAGAGACGTACGAAGTGCCAGAGGAGTCAGGTATAATGAAATGATAAATTGAACAGTACATACAAGTTTTGATTGGTGTTGAAACCATTGCAGATCATAACATATGATTAGAATTGAGAAACAGTTGGTGGAATGTTCTGTATTTTCAAAGTTGGATTATTCTTGGTGATACAAATTTCAGTTCTTGGCTTCTGGATTATCAATTCAAACCCTTACAGTGAGTTCAAAATGCTTGTGCTCCATTTTTCATAGCCTTAGACAACATGTTACATTGATGTCATGATCTAAACTGGTGACCTGCATGTGGAAGAATATGAGAGTTATTATAATTGTTAATAATAACATTACAATTATTATTATTAATAATAATTGTTACTATTATTAACATTTATTTGAAAGTTAAAATTGAGAGGCCTCATTTCACTTTACAGTCTGTGGTTTGCTGACTAGGATCAGACCATGTGAAAAGAGATTTAATTTGTGGTTACTATTTTTTCAGTTAATTTAAATTCCTTTCATTTTTTCTAAACTCATTGTAAGCAAATTGTAAATCTGTTTGTGTAGCACCATCACAGCCCCCTCCAAGACCATCACTAGGAGGATTTGGTTTAAAGCCTACAAAGATGGGTACACCAGCTGAGAAAACAAAACCAATAGTCCCTAAAGATTTACCAAAACCAAAACCAGGTACTACTTTTAATTTTAAATCTATTCCTCTTGTTTAAAACTTTCTATAAATTTTTATCTTTTTTATATTATATAATCCAATTAATAGTGCAGTGGACATCCTTTTTGTCTAGTGATACAACGGAAAACAGTTACACATGTGGACATTATTCCAAGGTTTTGTTGAAAGGTTCCAAAATAAGTCAAAATTGTGTTGGTCTGGCAAGAATGACCATTTTTGCTCAGCTTTCTCTCTTTTCTGTTTTGTTGTACTTGTCTGTTTTAAACCAGTCAAACTTGAACAACAGTTAATTATGAAGTCATATTTTGCATATTTTCTGATTCCTTTTTTGTTTTTTAGCAGAATTATTTTTATAGGTGAAATGCATTGCTAGGAAAAGAACCAAGGGATTTTTTTCGTAATTGCTTAAAAGGCCATTGTCGAAACTTTGTTTATGACAATTTTTTAACTCAAAGTTGTTCTTATCTGGTGGATACAAACATTCACCAGATGTCTGAATTTGATTGGAAATTCTATGATGCTTTGTATATCCATGCCAGAAAAATCTCATGACTGATGTTTTCTCCAGATGCACAATTATTTACAAGGTGGTTCCTCCACCTTTCTTGTTTGTCAGGAATTAAACCTTCATTAGCATCTAAGCCCCAGGTCAACCAAAAGCCAAATGCTCCTGGTCCTGTTAGAGGTACTCCCAAAAGATCATCGCGTCTGTATCCAGCACCAAAAGATAACACAGGTTAGAATATAATGCTGTAAAAGATTAGACATGAACTAAATGTACGAATCAAAATTGAATTGTAGTTAAAAATAAATTTATTTCTATTTGTTTGAGGATTATAGTAAATAAATGTGTTTTAAAAAAGGAAGATAGTTCAAACTGGGTTGAAATAATTTTGAAATTTGAAATTCATTTTCATACACTTAAACAAAATGACTGTGAATTTTGTGGTGTTTTAAGAACATTGTTAAGAGGATAGCAAACATGTACTTGTAACAATATTTCATAGGTCACAAATTTAAAAGGGAAAACATCAAATCTCACCTCACCTTGCCTTTCTGTAAAATTCAAATGTTGCATATTAATTTTGGGCTTAACCACACTATAGGAAAACCCTTTGCTACCCCATGTTTAGGTAACGACAGTTGAACATTGAGGCTGAAATACTGTGTTTTTTACTGATTAAAGTGTTTTCAATTATTCAATTAATACAGTAAAAAAAACATGATTATAAATCTTTGTTTGTTTTCATAAGCTCCTCCTGATTCACCACCAAAAAGGCTCTTTGGGTTACCTTTGCCAGGTTCACGACCCCCCATGGCTACTCCATCACAAGAACCTGAGAAAAACAACAACGAAATCCCTCAAGCAAAGCCATCATCAAGGTTAGTGCCCAACTCAAACAAAGACTAGAAATCAAAAATTTTTTTTTTAAATACAAGTAGTAATGCTGAATGTAATCCTGCTTGGTTCACACTATGAAGACAGGTGTGTATACACCTCCAGACCTAGGGAATCACCAGTGTATGACACTTCCAGGACCATTCATTTTTGGATCTTTAAATGCAGTCTTAAAATCTTAAAAGCCCCTTAGGTTGGGTCACAAAGTTTTCTTCTTGCAAATTAATGTCGTATTTGAATTTGGAATTCAACTCATTACTGATTTCAAAGAACCTTAAATTTGTTCTTCATTTAAGTGACCTGGTTCAAATATTTATCATTACTCTGTGTGCAAATGAAAGAAACATTTGAGACTTCATCAATTATGTTCAGCAAATTTTTTATGTTGGTATACTCCAGGTGCCAGTTTTTAGCCACCAAACATTTATTAGAATGAAAAGGACTGTTAGAGTAAACTTCATGGTAAACTTGCTTGCCAGTTGCTTTTCAGTAAATTAGTCCCACCTCAAACTCCTTCTTGGGAGGATCTAAGTTAGCACCAGGAAACCTAGAGGAAATCAAACCCAACTTTATTGCCATGCAATTGAATTTCTCCTAATCCTAAAGAAATTAACACCTTCTAACCTTAAACAGGTTACCAGCTCCAAACAGTCGCCAACCAGCCCCTCCCCCAGTGGAGGATACACCACCTCCCCCTCCTAGACCTGGTGCTAAGGTGAGTCTAAAAAGTTCAAGTGAGTCAGAAGTGTCTTTCAGCTTGTGGGAGAAATTAAATGTATGGAGTTCCTATATTTGATCCAAGGAGCTCTGAAAGACATTTGTCTACTTTTTAACCAGTAAAGAGTAAGATGATGTGACTTTGGTTGTGTAATCTTCAGCTATCATCGAGTTCACTCTTTTAGCTTCCCATTTATTTATTTATTTTTTACATATCTATCATGTTCAGCCTCATCCAATAATTGTTTAATGTTATGGTGGTGGACTCTAGACAAACCCAAAAACTTGTAGCTTTTCAGTTGTAATAGTTCAGTGTTATCATCTTTGTATTTGATGATGTTTTCTTCATGCCCCTCTTCGTTTTTCTCTTTAATTTGTTTATTTGTATATTTACAGCCTACTTTGAAGCCATCAAGATTGAGGTTTGTTGGACACAAATACTTTAACCCCTAAGATTGAGCAGCATCTAATTCCTCCATGCAGGATCACCCCTGAATGTAACATTGAGGTTGTGGGAATATAGAAAATGACCACAATCTCAGGAAGCTCTTGATTGTTAAACAAATTTCCCCGTCAGTACCCTAGGAAATTTATAGAAGGCATTATGGAGAATATGTACCTTAATGTAAGGCTGTAGTGGATTCAAGTTAAATGGCAGGGTAGATATGAAATCATCAAATTTTAAGTCTTACAAAACGCCTAATTTCCTTTCTAAATCTTACTTTAAGACGGTTCCTTTTCTGGTTCCTTTGATCGATCTCCTGAACTGATGTCAACATTGATGGGTGTCACACAGATGACTTGCGCAAGACATTCACAAAACGAATTAACAGACCAGAACAAGCTAACTTTACTGAGGGATTGAAGGCAACTTGACTGTGCAACTTGAGTCTTACAAACAAAACATCATAACGAAAGCCCTCTCAAACCAGACTCAGAACACTCAACTTATCACTTAACTCTGATGATCACGTCCGCCAAGTGCGTCAAAATCGTAGCCACCACTGCCAACAACAGTCCTACTAAATGTTCCTCGTCTTACTGCTTTTCCTTAAAGATTACATTATCTGACCTTTCGTGTTCTCACTTTTTCACCCTCCAGTTATATGAGAAAGAATTTTTTGTGTGGAATTAGTTTATAGTCATGAGTAGCATCTTAAAGGATCTATTTGTAGCTACGTAATTTTTAGCCGTCATGTTCTGACTAAATTGGCCCTTTCATTTTAGTAAATTATGCATAGTTTGATTATCTCTCTCTCTGTTTGTTTTTTTTTTTAAGCAGGGTAAGCAGTCCACTACTCCTATTTTGAAAGTGATTGAATAGTTGTTGGTTATGTGTTATTTTCATTCTGTATTTCTTATATTATTTTTGCAGTGATTTAGATTCCCAAAGGAAATCTCAGGCTCTTCCTTCACTGCCAGACCAGAAGGTAAACTAAATGGGTTAATTAGCTCATCTACGGGTGTCCTTTTCTTTTCAAATACTTTGTAAGTTTTCAGTTATACACATCTTGCTCTTTGTTTTTTTTTCAGCCTGCTGATTCGCTGAAGCAATATCCCTGGTTTCTTGGCCCGTTGGACAAAAAAGTAGCCGAAAACGCCTTGAACTCATTTTCTAAGGTCTGCTTTTCAGCTTTTTATTCCTTTCTTCTAAGCTTTCCTCATTTCCATTTTTTGCCTTTGTTGACTGCGGCAGTAAATCATTTAGTCATTCAGTTGGGCAGTCAGATATTCACTCACTCACTCACTCACTAACATAGTTACTAAGTCAATCAACCACAACACGTAAGCAATCATTTGTCTATCCTTTCTGATCATTTTACAAACAATCGCTGTCGTTCCTAAGGCTTGACATCTGTTTTTCGTCACAGGAAGGAGCATTTATTGTGCGCAACAGCTCAAAAGATCCTAATAGCTATTCAATGTCGTTGTATTTCAACAGAAGTGTACGGCACCTGAGGTGAGTGAGCACATATGCAGTAGTACCAGCACTCTTATGTGTTGGCATGATAAGGAACAGGCAGATTTGTTTCAGCTACAGAATGCAGGAAAATTAATAGAGACAAAGGAACTAGCTCTTCACAGTCGTTGCCATTGTATTCAAATTTTCTCGTGAGTGACTTAGAACCAGAGTGATATAGTTTTCTTATCGAAACTCTAATACCAAACTTATGCTGTTCGTTTTTTCATCTTTTGCTAGAATACCTCGGCTTCAAAATAGGAAATATGTTCTTGGAGACAGTGGAAAAGTGGTAAGGAAGCACTTAATGGGTGATGAACACGCCAAAGGAAAATTAACAATAATTGAGTTGCAGACAGTGGACCGACAATTGATTGGCTCACGTACCACTGAACCGACTGAGTATTAACTGGGTATTTGGTATCATCAGCTGAGTGGATAACACCATATTCCCGCCAATAGCTTCGCTGTATTCTCTGCATTTAAACGCACACACAACCCACAATTCCTCCATTCGTTCTGACGAAGGGCTAACGCTCGAAACGTCAGCTTTCAAACTCTTAATGGTGGCCAATGTACGTTATCAACTCAGTTGATAAAACCAAATTTCCTTGTTATACTCTCCACCAACGCAGCTTAAAACCTTAAAACTTACCCCCTTTATTGAATATTAACTAACCACTTGGGTGACTGATTGACTCACTAATTGAAAGTTAACTGATGACTGTCCAACTGGCTGATTGACTGACTGACTGGCCGGTAGAACGACCGACTGACTGACTGGCTGGTCGAATGGCTGACTGATTGACTAACTGACCGGCTGTTTGAATGGCTGACTGACTGACTGACTGGTCTGACTGGCCAAATGACCAGCCGACCACCCAACGAACAAAGCGATCTACTTGCTGAACAGCATGGCTCACCGGCTGAATGATAACTGACTCTTTTAGCAAGTAAATGACCATAGGTGACAGAGCTTACGCACCGAAGAGGCTATCTTCTGCCTGACTGACGAAGTAATCAACTGACCGGCCAATTGATCGACCGACTGAGTTAGGTACTAGTCTCCTTATTGACTTACGCGGACGGATTGGTGGGCAGACAGACAGAAAGATATAGGGACTATCACGCCTCTATGAAGCACATTGAATGGACGATTTACTCTTTCTATACAGCAGTTTTTATTGAGCGATTTATTGATCGAGTCGGAGCGAATGTTGACACCTTTGTTAGCCAATCAGAACTCCAACGCGGGAAAGCGCAAGCGACCAAGTCGCGATTGGTTTCCGTTTTGAATCTGATTGGTTCTGAAAGTGGCGTGACTTTTGTGGACCAACCACATAACGAAGTAAAGCAAAACCAAACAATTAAGGATTACCTTTGAGACTCAATCGAAGATTGCCCGTTTTTATTGATTGATTGATGGATTGATTGATTGATTGATAAGACGTGTATATACTCCATATTGATCCTCTGATCTGTTGATACATTGTTGTTACTTCCTGCAGCAATTTGATACCATAGTGGAATTAGTCGACTACTACAGTCAGCATCATGTTGATCTCAGGTCAGGAGGGTCCACGTCTCTTACTGCTGCTTGTCCAGTCAAATAATTTGAATCAGAGACGTACTCCAATTGTTTCTTCTGTCCTTGCAATTTTCTGGCTGAACAGCTTCCATGGAAAGTACAGCTCTTTGGATGGCAAGTGTTTGGATAGTTATGAACTTAAACTATCAACGAAACTTATTTTGCACCGTTATTGAAATAGTCTTAAATTATGATGGAATCGGCTTTGGATTGCTGATGGTTTCCTGCCTCTTTTATCAGATTGTTGGAAAATGAATCGGAGCCAATCTATTCTGAACCTTCGTTTAGATATGTCTTTTTGGTTTTCATTTGCCATTGTTAAAGTTGATTGTTCATTTTGGAGATGTAACTTGTTATTGATAATTCTCTGCTAATTTTAAGAAGAACGAAAAGTGCAATATTTTAGATTTTTGCCTCATGAGGGAATTCATTAGTTCTCATTAGAAAAGTCTAGTTTTAAGTGGTTAGTTTCATGTTGACGTCTACTCTGCCCTGTTTTGCTTTCTGGATAAAATGTGAAATTAATCACACAAATACGTTTGGAGAAACAGCGTGTTTTTGCTTGAATTCAACGTAATGACAATAGTAATACGAGTTAATTAGCACTAGGAAAGAAAATGGATTAAGTAGAATACCTGAGTAAGATTTCAGGTTGAGTACTTTAAAACGAGAAGTATATTTTATAGTTAAATTGTTAAAGAAAATTGAGGCTCTAAGGTATAGCCTACTAATCGATTGTGAAGTACTTAATAAGTAATGGCCACAGTAGCGTGTAACGAGCATGTTGCCCAAATTTTGCTATTGCTGGCTATTACACTCGTTCATCGCTGCTCTGAGCAATTTGAGGTTGTTTTGTTCTCAGCCAGTCAAATTATCCAACTTCAAACGTGGATTATTGTACGGGACTTTTCCCGCTTTTTTTGAACGAGAATACACCTGTTTAAATAGTAACCCGAGTCCTACTGTTATATCTAAGGTGAAGCCAGCCATTTTAAAAGTAAATGTACATTTTTTTTTAAGTCTTAAATATTTTTGATGGTTTCGCTTTTGATATAAAAGGGCAATGAAATTTTTCAATCTTTAATATTAGTATATCGCATTGAAAATGCCAATCATTTTGACGGTGAACGATTATGATTTATGTTCACCATAAAAAAATATACACAGTTTTGCGACAGTTTCTAATGATTTCAAGGCATGAAACTCAAATTCTGTATTTATTTTAGTTTTTTTTATTACAGATAACTTCCTCGGGAAGATACGAAAAGCAAATAAGTATGCAAACTTCAAAATTGACGAAACTCTGATTTTTTAGAGAAAAAAATAATTTTCAATCACGTGTATTCCCTCATTCTGGCAGCATTTTATATTTTCATAACGAAAGTCGATATGTAAAAAGACATTAATGAACGCTATGTTGGTTATATCGATAAAATATGATATTTTAACAGTTAAGGGATCCATGTAGATATATTTGTAACCGCAATATTTAGATATTTTAGTTTAGTATTAACACATGTTTATATTAATTTTCGAAATGAATTATTTCCTTACAAAGTTTGTGTCTGGAGGGAACACGTTGTGTGACAATAATATTGGATTCTGACCAGGCTCACACGAGACCTTTCATGTGAAAAGGTTATTTAGGATGAGCAAGTCAGTCTCCTAATACATGCATCCTGAGACAATCTTAACATGTGCACCCTAAAACTAGGGGTTCTACCAAAGGAACCTGTGCGATGCCAGATATGAAAAAAAAAAGATTGTAATGATATTTCGCAGGGGATTGGAAAACGAAAATTACAACAAATACAAAAGAAGAAGGTGGTCAAACTTAAGACCGGACCAACCTTAAATAGCTTAATTTTCCCGCGAAACGCTTAAACTGGATCCGAAACTTCCATTATGTCACGCAAATCTCTTTAACGTGCCATCACAATCTTAGTATCTGACTAATTCGGTCCCATGTCCTCAAACGTCAGAAGTTACATTTTTTTAGGGATTTTGCAGAAACTCCTGAAACTAGATGTTCGTAGAAATTCCTAACTAGTTCTTACCTCTCTTCCCCCGCTCTGAAAATAAAGAACAAAAGTCAAACTAACAGCCTCATTCAACCTCTTTCCCATGTCCTCTCTTCATTACTCTCTCTAGGGATGGAAGAGAAACCCCAGGAACTAGGTTGTACCCTATTATAGTTCACCGTCCACAGACCTTCCACTTTCTCTCAGATCATCGATCATCGCTCAGAACGCACGCGGGAGTTGGGTGGAGGGGGGGAGTGAGAGGGGGTGCTGAGGAAACAGGCAGTCTGAGGATCTCTTAGAAGATACTGAATTACCCTCCCGCTCTAAAGTCTTCCTTGTCCCGTAGTCCCGCGGGTACCAAACCTGAGACCCAGTGTTTCTCCGACAATAGGAAATAAGATCAAGATGGCGGTGGTTAACGCGGCAGTAATTTGGCTGATAATAGCGGCTGTTGTGGGGATAATTTTACTCATAGCTACTTTTGTGGTGAACAGAAACAAGAAAAAAAATAAGAAAGGTGGGTTTTTTACTACTTCTTTGAAAACTTCTACAGATAAAATCAGTACCAAGCATAACCAAATGTTAAATTTTAGGAACTTGAATGCATCAAATAGACTACGTATACCAAGCTTATTCATTCATTTGTTGAAGGACTCAGTGGAAATTCGCGTTTGATAATGAAAAGAAGTTTGAAATGGGAGAAATTCGTGATCGCTCTAACAGAAAACGATCGGAAAGTGGATCAAAGTAACGGAATATTTATAATCTCAAAATACGACGGTCTGATACGAGTGCAAAGTAACTTGTGAGCAGATTATCATTTTTTGTGCTCGTGTAATAGAGAGTCAGTCTATTGTACCTTATTTTACCCCATTCTGGATTATGATGGGCAAGATTTCCTTACTGTCCCGTGTTTCATTAAGCATCCAGTTCTTCATAAAGAAAACAATGGCGGAAACGATACATTGCCTTTGGAACTATGGCTTTGTTTTAATATAATTTGCCCTTATAATGTTAAAACTCTGCTGTCGATTCTCATATGAATGGTTTATAATGCAAGGTTCACCTGGTTACTCATATACATGTAAAAGTGGTGTTTTGTTTTATAAAAATGGTAATATTCTATAATTTTTGCTTTTTCCTTTTTAATGGAATTGATATATGGAAAGATAATGATAATTATTATGATCATGCTGATAATTCTCTCCTCTAACTGCCACACATTTCCTTGTGCAGTAGTAGTGAGAATTTGGTGTTCAATTAAGATAGCAACTTCTACCTGATAAGTTTGAGTATTCTCATAACCCATTTGCTGGTTAATGTAAAAATACTACAGGGAGACTTATTTGCAATGTATGTATTTATTTGCAACATTTAGACAGGCTGGTCCAGTTCAGCTCAAAGCTGGTTAAAATGGGGGCCAGTATAAACAATGACAAGGCCACACCACAACATAAGGAGCTATGTTCTCAACTCTTTGTGAGAATTCGGTGGGTTCTTTAACACCATCTGCTAACCAGTGCAGAGAAGATGCAGGAAGGGGGACTATATTTTACTGTCTTTATCCAAGAAGACTAGAATGTCTTACTATTTTGTAGATGTCATCGCAAAGGCAACACATTCACCTCAGTTATTTTAAGACCCTGGGTGTTGGTCCAGTCTGGGGCTTGAATCTTTAACCTCCTGCAAGGTGATCTGGTGCTCTACAACATGAGCAGTGTAGTTTAATATGTTCATCATTTCTAGGAGTTAAAGGATGAACTGTGTAGCTTACAAACTTTTATTGCTTCATGATAACAAGTATATCCAAGAAAATATCATGATAGAGTTTTTTTAATATGTTTATTTGTTAGGTGCATCTAGACAACCAGACCAAGTAGACAATGTTAGGGAAGTTGGGGGAGCAAGGAGACGTGGAAGAACAGCTCATTCACTGATGACATCCAGAAGGGTGCATGATGATGATGATGAAGATGATGACGATTATGAAGGTGATGGATGATAGATAGATAAAAATTTATTTCATTGAATTGAATTTCTTTTTTGGCAAGGAGTATTAGTCAAAATTTCAAATTTTAATTTATATCTTGTAATAGGGACAGAAAGTTACTCCATGGGGTTTGATAATCAGATGCCTGTGGGAAAAATTGGAGCAAAAAAACAAAGGAAACTTGAGATGAAAGAGGAGAAGAGACAACTCAGAGAGGTATGATTATTACTGTTTATGGATAATTGTTCAGATAACTGATAATTTTGCCCTAAAGAGGAATATGTTCTGCTATAAGTAAACAAGTTAAAACATTTGGGAGCAAAAGTGGTAAAGGTGAACTTGTTTTACTTCAGGGGCAAACTCACAAAGGTGGTAGGGGCTAACTTGCAATAGGGTGAAATTTTTAGATAGCAAGTTAAACATTTCTTTGTTAAGTGTTTGTAAGATGTGTAAGTTATACCAAGCCAACATGATATATGATAACTTTCTTGGACTATACTAACTTTCAACTGTTTATAAACCTTGTAAGGAGGAAGTATTAAATATACACTTGTGGGACTGTGGAAGGGTTATCTTGATTAAAAAAAAAATTAATACCTGCACTTGTGTGAACACATAAACTGCGGTGTTATACAAGGATTTCTGGCTCTGAGAAAAGCCATAACAAATCACACATGAAAAAATCATATGTTTTTTCACCCGTGTTGATATAGCCAATCAGCTGCTGACACGTCAATTGCCTTTGGCACCACTCAGTCAGGTTGATGAATGAACGGCAAAGCCTTCATGATTCTTAATAAAAGTTCTTTGTTGGAGCTTTCTCGAATTATGGCGGCTAAAACACTAAAAAATCTGTGTCGCTGACAGACTGTGAGGTTCAAACATTCTTAGAAGGGGAAGGAAACCAATATAGTAATAAAAAGAAAAACCAAAAGTCAGTGGCTTTGGTATCAACATTTCTCTCGTCTGAGAATGAAAATTGACTACTAGAAGATTTGCCAGTGGCCAATTTTGGCCATTTACCTGAAAGACTTCTTCTGTCGATGAGGACAAAGTCAATAAATGAGAATTTGTAAATTGAAAATTATGACCATTGTTGTTTTTGTAATTATAATTCAATGCATTTTTCCATCTTAAGAGTTAATGCCAATGCACTCTATGATTGTTATTTGTGGATTGTTGATTCATTTGTTTTCATTCATCAATGAAGTTGGCTTTTCTTCCCAGCAAAGGGCTATTGTGTTTATATGATAAACAACATAATACATGGTTGCTTGTAGATATGAAATTTTTATTCTCGTGTTTAACTTGACATCTCACTCGTTCTCTGCGCTCACTCATGAGCTATCAAGTTAAATGCTCAAAGAGAAATTCCATATCTACATGCACACTCATTTATTATTCTCTATTTACTTCTGGCAAAAATGCAATTTTGAATATAAGATACCAGTACTTGCAAATGAAAATATGAACAATTTGAGACCATCATATAAGAAATAGTGATTTATACCACCTAACTCATGCTTCTATTGGGCATTTCAATAAAAGCAGGTTACCAAGGGTCTACTACTACCTATAGGACCTCTTACAGCTGTCTGTTTAGTGCCTGGAGCGGGCTCTCACTTGTGTTTAGCTTATGTCTAATTGTCCCTTTTTGGGCTCAGCCACCAATTACATCATTGATCAGCACGTATAGAAAAAGTTATCGTAACTCTTGTTTTACTTGTTCTGAGGGTTACTGTCTGTAATTAGATTTAAAATTTGTGGTCATCATTTGGAGAAGAGTGCATTGTTATGAAACGTATGTGATGATTGAAATACATTTTTCTTTGGAAAGCAAATGGAAGCGGAGAGAGAAGACAAAAAGCAACGGGAAGCATTACGTGATGAAGAAAGGAAGAGACAAGAAGCAAGAAGGAGAAAAGAAGAAGAAAGACTGGTTTGTACTTTTTGTAGAGTTGACATATCCATGTCAGTATCTGAGGAACTGCACATCTACAGCTCCCACAACCCAACATTAACCTGTTATTAGTTGACTGTTCTTGGGTTTGGGGTAGGTACACAGTTTCCCAGAGTCTAACTTTGTACTTTTTGTAGAGTTGACATATCCATGTCAGTATCTGAGCAACTGCACATCTACAGCTGCCACAACCCAACATTAACCTGTTATTAGTTAACTGTTCTTTGGTTTTGGGGTAGGTACACAGTTGCTCAGAGTCTAACTTTGATCCAAGTTTAATCTAATGAACAAGGTTTGGTTCTTCCTGAGGAATATTGTTCAACCATTTTTATTTTTCATGGAAGGGTTTTTGGTAAAACAACCTACAGTGAATACTCTTGGGGCCTAATTGTTATTTTTGTAGACCTAATTAAATATTTTTGCACTCAAGATCATTTGCATTCAGGCTGATTAATATTAAGTTCAGCCTGTGTTTACTTTTACCAATTGGAGCTTTTCTGTTTAACTGATTTGGAAGAGATAAACTCAGTTCTTTGATGAGTTCACTTTGTTTTACTTGGCGCGTTTCAATCATTTATCGACAACTTGTAAAGAACAACAGCAAAATTAACTGACAAACTCTCTTCCACATCAGCTATATGTAAACAGGGTTTTTACAGACATTTCATCTCACAAAAATGATATTAATGACTTAAAACAGGCAAAAAAAAGTAGTATTATTAGTAAATATACATGTAGTCCAGATTAAAACTCCTTAATGAATTTGTCTATTCTAAAGAGACTACTGAACTGTATGAACAAGTAAATTAACACACTCACTTTGTTCACTTAAAATTGTTAAGCCAAAGGTAAATTAACCTCAGTATGTGACAATTGCAAAAGCTAAAGTTTGTATTTGAGCGCATCTATCTTGCAATGCATAACCAATTTTGATCCAAACTTCATTTCAGGAAGAAGAGGAACGTAAGAGAAAGGAGGAACAAGAACGGAAAGAACACGAAGAATATCTGTTGTTAAAAGAACAGTTTACAGTGGAAGAGGAAGGTGTTGGTGAGACAGCAGAAGAAGTAAGTCTATCCAGTCAGGGATTTCTTGTAGTATTTATTTATTCCAGTAAATTGGAGGTAATGCAGATCCAAAATATCATCTGTGCTTGTTGTTTGAATGGCTTTCCAGTTATTCTTTTCTCAGTTGCCATCCTGTCTAAATGCAGCCCCAGTCCACTGTGTTACAAAACTGACCTGTTTGAGACTATAGACTGTTGTTCTGATTGATTCCAATGTTCAGTGAAAAAGGGCTAGGGACTATTCAAGAGAGGATAAAACTAGAAATTATTTTTATTGAACTTTCATAGAAGATGAATTATATACATCACCAACTTTGTTCAAACTGACAACTACTATAGTCCATGATTGTCAATCTTAACAATTTCAGCTTTACACTTTAAGAATATTCTTAATAATTAAATAGAGAATCAATGTATGTGGAAATTATTTTTTAGCTTATTTTCACTGTAATTTGTAATAAAATATCTTTTTAAATTTACCAAATATTTTCATTGTGTATTTTTCTAAGTCTGAAGCACTTCTGGAAGAATTTGTGAACTACATAAAGGTTAGTAGATTTGAAAAATTAAATTTGTAAGCTTGGATAAGAGTGGCTGAGTAGATCAACTTTTATATTGATGCACTGCTCCTACCTTCTGGTTCCACTCAAAAAACAAAATATTAACCCTTTAATCCATAAGAGTGACTGGTATCTAATTTTTCCTTACAATATCACCCCTGAATCAAACATTAAGGTTACAAGAATAAGGGAAGTGATCACCAACTAAAGAAGCTCTTGATTGATCGACAAATTCTCCTTGTCAGCACCCTAGGAAATGTTTAGAGAACATTATGGAGAATGTGCACACTGATGTTAGGGTGTAAAGGGTTGAGATTTTAAATGTGTAATATGTTTCTCTCATAATTTTTGTCTCTAAGGCTTTGTGTAAATTTTGTATTTAAGACACAAAGTGGCCTGAATTTTTCTTGAATCTTTATAGTTCATCTAAAAGTACCTCAATTCCAATTGTGCATTATATTTCAGACTAACAAAGTGGTGTTGTTGGAGGAGCTAGCTTGTCAGTTTGGTCTTCGCACTCAAGATGCTATTGACCGACTACAAGCTTTACAGGAAATGGAAAGGATAACAGGTATCAAGCAATTATTGTACAGTTGTTCAGTTATCCACAACTCTTTTGTTACACTTAATAGTGGCCAGGAATATTTTAGTACATTTTACAAGGCCAGTTTTGTAGCTTGGTTGCTGTTCATGTGGCAGCATTGTGGTTTTTGCAGTGGACTCTGGATCTGAAAGGGTGTGGGTTGTAGTTATGGCTATACTACTGTGATTTGTTCTTGGGAAAGATAATTCACTCCCTCAGTACCTCCCTTCTCTTAGGGGTCTAAATGGCTACTGAAAATCTGTCTGGGAAGTCTGATGAAATGCTGGAGGTTAACCCTCCAATGGATAAGCATCCATCCCAGGAGAGTAACAGTGCTTTTAATTGTTTAGACAACGTGCCAATGAAACTATGACATACTCTCACAGGGTTGGCCTGAAGGCTCTTACAATCACATGCTGACTTGGCCTTTACTGTTTTTAGGGGACAAAGACAATACTTAAATGTTAATGTGTGACAAATGTAATTTTGTTTAAATGCAGTGTAAGGCTCAGACCAGACATGGAAAATGGTGAACATGACAAATTTTAGTTTTTCTTGGCACAAAAAGTTTGGACTTTCAGTGAAATTTTTATCATCAATATTTCATATAATGGTTTATAAGCTTTCAAGTTTGAGTAGGCACTTATTTGCTTAAACCATGTCTTAGGAGTGACAGATGATCGGGGGAAGTTCATTTACATATCCCCTGAAGAATTGCAAGCTGTAGCTAAGTTCATCAAGCAACGTGGAAGAGTGACGATCAGTGAACTTGCAGAAAGCAGCAACACACTTATCAATCTACAGACAGATAAGTCTCTCACTGATTCTACACCATTGGCTCAAGTAACAGCATAAGATTATCCCTTGACACTAAGAGTGACGGGCAGTTTCTCCTTACAATATCACCCTGAATCAAACATTTAGGTCAGGAGAATAAAGGAAATGATCACCAACTAGAGATGCATTTGATTGTTAGAAAAATTCTCCTTGTGAGCACGTTAGGAAATGGAGAATATGCATACTTATGTAAAGGTTAAGCAAGTATTGTGACAACCTTGACTGATAACAAAGTTTCGAGATATTTATTTTTCATTGTGAAAATGTCCATGATGCTAATTTGTTATACACTGTTTCATTTTCCCTCTATTCATTTCACTGCACTTTTCAGTTTACTTTCAAAACTTCTTTGACATTGAGATTAACATTAAATGTATAAAACTGTGTTTAGTGTTTATCTGAACTTAAAAAAAAGTTTTTAAATCAAACTGTTTAGAGGTGTGGAATGAGACAAAGGAAAACAAATCAGTGCCTAGCTCAAATTCATATTTTGAATCCTTGTGTGTGGATATTGGTGATCTTTGGTTTAAACTTTTCGAACCAGTTTCATTTTACTTTTACTATGTTTCAGATTGTAATAATGATAACAATGGTAATAATAAGATACAAGAGATAGAAAAATACAGAACTGGTTTGAAAAGTTTTAAGCCCAAAAATGAAATTTGTTGTTGACTCCAATACACTACATGTAAAGTTCTGTGAATTGTTAAAATAACAGTACTTAAATACTGTTTGCTCTCTGATAAATGTTATCCATGTGTGAATCAAACATTTGAAAATACCACAGCTGTAGCTATTGGTATTGTCAGTTTGAATTACTCCACTTGTGAACAAATTGTAGTGGGGCAAGAGCATTTTATTGAATAAATATAATATTGAATTAATAATGCTACTTACATATTTTTTGGCAAGTGACTTCTGATGTGTTCTTAGAAAGAAAAGTTAAACGATAAAAGAATATGTACACAAAAGCAACTAACATGTTATATCACCTACTCTGTATTTCAGGTAAAAATTTCATAAGCATAAAAGCAATGGTGTAGTTATCACACTTCAAGACTGTACTTGTCTAGTACTTCACATAAAAGTCTAAGTAGAACAAGTATGATACAACAGTATTCTCCTTTTCAGGTGATAACTGCTTAAATTAACTACCTGAAGTGCATCTTATTAATGCCCAACATGGCTTGGAATTCCTGAAAATTCAACAAGTAGAAGGTTGCTCTACTAGTTAAAAATTTATTTTACCTGACATGGAAAAAAATGAGAGAAAACACTAATACAATATCAAGTTTAGATGAAACATTGGAGATCTAAATTAAAAAAAAAATGATGTAAAACTATGTGGTGATTGATGTGAATACAAAATTCAGAATTTGCATCCTTGTTTTCTGCAGGTTACAACTTGAAGTTTATGCAAGAAAAAAGAACAATGCACATGCTGCTGCTAAATAACTACAATTAATGAACTGAACTAATTTTTAAAATATCTACCTATTCTTGAAAAAATTTAATGATAACAAATCAACAATACTGGTATTTAAATTCATTACTATCATGGCTTAAAATTTGCTTTAGTAACTGTCCTCTTTTGTTTGTTTTTTGGGAAAAGATAAGTTTGGGTAACATTATCAAAGGAATTAAAAATATGCCTAACTTGAAAAACCTTTCTACAATTTTTTTTTTGTTGTTAGACACTTCTAAAGGGTGCAGACCCTCTAAATCTTAATGTTTCTTTGAAGACTGTTCATTCACACTAGTGTTGATTACTACCTCCTGCTTTGCTTGTTTTCCTATGCCAGCAGGGAAATTACACTCATGGTGAATTCTCCAATTCAAGTAAATGCAAATTTTTAACAGTCATCTACGATTGCTAGTGAGGAGGCTCTGCAGTCTAACCCTAAATCAGTCCTGGTCAGCACTGAAACTTGTGGGGGCCATCTGGACTGGTCAGCACCTCACAATGTGGCTTGTGTATCTTCATTTCAGGAACCCTCAATCCCTAGCCTTTACTTTCAAGTCTACCTTCCACAGGATACCCCTCTAGAAGCCGCACATCCACAAATTTGGCAAAGTTAGCTCTTTTTATTGCTTCAATTCCAATGTCCCTGAAATATTGTGATGTAAATTAATCAGTATTTATATTTTTTAACCTGTTCAAAAGTAAGTTTACAGCCCCCAGAAAATCAATTCTTGATCCTTGATTCTCGATTACCTTAGCATTTGCACATCTTGAAATGTGTATTTTTTGTTTGCAATTCATGTGTATCTTCTCTGAAGTTTATCATTCTAATTCCTTCTTTCTTTTAAACTGTTACCTCTTTGACTTACCAACTACCTGTGGTTATTTTTTTAAAATTTTTTTAATTTTTAAAATTAAGTTTTGTGTGGGACACGAAATGAATTAAATTTATCATTTTGTAGCCAAGTTGCCGTGGTTCTGTTCAAAAATAGATCACAGGGGACGTCGAAATATGGCTAGAATATCACTGACACACTTGGCTGCACTTCGCATACCTCTTATTTGTTCTTACCACCCTTAAACGTCATCTGCGATCAATTACTAGACAATCAGTTGTTAAAAAAGGAACTATGGGCAAGTGAGTTACTTTGTAAAGCCATATAAATTCGGTTGAACAATACATTCAATCGAAAAAATCTTGAAATACTCACGAGTCTTCAAACGCCCAGCAGTCGTGAGGGTTTATACCCAATCTTTCTGCAGCTGTAAGGAATGCGTCAGGATGAGGTTTGGCATTCTGATAATCTTCGTTTCCAACAATTTCGTCGAACAAGTCACGAATCCCAGCTTCTATCAGAGCTATTTAATGTCATGAACAGCGAAGTAAATAATACAAATATTATCTTTCGATAACTTACACTATATTAAAATGTTCTGACCACATTTCGTGTAGTTCGCGTGTTGTTCCTAATATAAGGGCGGATTTCAGCTGAAATTTATTCACATCACGAGCCGCAGCAATTAACTTATGATCGTGAAGTGTAGACACTTCTCATGTCTTTGATTTCTCTACGTTTCTTTTTAATTTTAAGGTAGGGTGAATATTCAAACTTTTTAAAAGTGAGTAAAGTGATCATGAAAGGATGAATCGTTAGTGTGGTCAAAGGGTGATCTGGAGAGTTTGCGGAAATGGACTTTGACCCTTCTCATGCGTCAAGTGATCAATGTTCAAAACACTGAAAAGTCGACCACAACTTGGAAAAACTATTCAAAGTAAAACTGTCCATTTATTTAGTGAGCATGTAAAAATTTTTTGACTCCATATACCTTGTTCGACTTGAACACGGGAACTCCCTGATGCTACTGCTGTTGGAATACCAAGGCGTCGAGCCTCCAAAACAAAGCGTACAACGCAAGGAATTATTTTCACAGATTGTAGTCCTTTGAGGAAGAAAGATCGCTTCCTAGCGTACACTTCGAGAGGATCTAAATTGATCCCTTGCTGGTTTGCTAGTTCGCGAATAATCTCTCTCCCAGGTACTCCTGCAAGAGCGAAGAAGCTCTCCTTGTCAAACTTTAAACCAGTTTCCTTGCAGATTGCACACCAAGCCTTCCAGTGTAAAGGCATCGTATCCAGCAATGTCCCGTCACAATCAAATATCAGCCCTTTAACCTCTGCGGGTAATGGCATTCCGCGAAAGTGTTGTTGAGAGAAAAATAAACAGCTTTCCAACAAGAGCAAACACTTCCCGCCTAAGTCCTCACAAAGAAGCTTGCACGTATTGCGACGAAAGTTGAAAACTCTTGGCCTGGGTTTGTCTTGCGCAATATTATCAACTTGCCCTTCCAAACATATCAATAATTTTCTCCGATTCAGCGATCAAGATTTTCTTTCTCAAAATGTAAAATGTTACCATGAATTACGTTGTAAGCGTGGTTAGAGTTGGTTTAGTATGGGATCTCTCTCCTTTGTTTTCTAGGTCCTTCTGTCGTTGTTCATCGATGAAGCACCTGGGCGCAAAGTTAATTGTGAACCCCCTGGCATGAAGATATGAGAGATGTTTTCTAAAACGTTAAAAAAAAATGGGTACAACCCAAAAACGTGGGTGATAGGCTTGATATCACTCTGGGTCATTCACCGCCCATCGCGAAATCCGCGAATGAATGAGGTTTGTGTTCATCGTCACGGACTTATGGTTCACAGTAATTCTATTGGAATTGTATAGGACTACGGAACTGGACTTTGGACTACCAAGACTACTACTAGTACTACTGGCATTATGAAGTCCATTTTTCTTCTTCTCGACTCAAAATAATGTAGAAGTATATTTATTCATTTACCTTGTCTCAAGAAAAGAAATTCGGTCTCGGAGACAGTTATTCTCAACAATAGCGGTAGGAATAACCCTCTGAGAAACTCATCGTGTGGGAGGAATTTTGCCGTCTACTTCAACTGCGCGAACCGTCCTTTCAACTGCTCGTACTTACGATTTTAACATTTAAATGGACTGAAGTATGTAAATGCCTGTTTTACATCTAAATCAGAGTAAAATACGGACTATGAAAGCATTTCGAGACAATCGTGAAATCGGCCCTTTCAAACTCCAGAAAACGTTTAAATATTGAACTCCTCCAATCCGTTAGTCCAGAACCTCGAAGACTTATCCCTATCTTACAGTAATGGTTTGTTGCGTGAGATTGTGTTCCGTGATGATACACGGTAATTCAAAGAGAACTGCAATGTCATAACCATCAACTGTTACCGCGTGAAAATTGGGTTTCACCGCATCTTCTCTGTTGTCAACAAACAATTTCTTGATTTTTCTCAAAATTTTCTTCGTGTAAAAAACGATCTCAGAATAGAAGAACGGGTCATCGAAAGGAGACTTCACTCCTTCAAGCAAGCAATCTCCCAAGACTTCAACATACCCATTGGCGATTTTACCTAGTAGAACACTGAAGTATTTTAACATAAAAATGCCCAATTTTCTGTTCTAAACGTGCGTAAGAATGAACTTGAAAGAGTTTAAAATCGGAATTGTTTTTTGTTGATTGTGGTCAAGGTGTAGATTTTTATTAAATGAATGTAGTGCTAGGTCACGCTTTGATATTGATCACGTAGCCTTGCAACAGAGACTACCTAGTTTCAGAAGTTAAAACAAGTTTCCTTTCTAGCAAAAAGCCGCATTTTTAAAAGTTTGGACTCACAAATGAATTGGTGGGTACAAAAAAAATAACATTATTGAACCCAAGAGAAAAATAATGACACATTGAAGTAAATATCCATCTATTTATTTTCTTTTTAATTATACTTTTTTCCCTTGATGTAGCAGCTTAATCTTTGTGTCAAGTCCCTTTACTGTCGGCTAGCTTAACTTTTTATCACATTCTAGCTGTGGTAATTTGGAATTAAATCCAACGATTTCTTCAATCTTGTCACCTGCAAGCTTAAGAAATTTATCAATTTGATAATGTACGAAATTACTGCATGGTCAGTTCCTTCAAAGTAACTAGGCACATTCTTCAACATTAGAATGCCCGTCTGTATCTGCCTATAATTTTATGCGATCACCAACAAGTATGGATAATAACATTGTTCCAATATTTCAATTTATGTGTTTTGTTAAAACAATTTCGAAATCTTTCAATGTTGATTCCCTTGATATTCTTTGTGGTTTCTTTCCAATGAAGCATTGATCAATATCATCATTCAATCATTTCCCAGTTCATTTTCCTTTCCCTCTAAACAAGTTTCTACATCTGATCAAGATATCAGAGAAGGATAGTTCTAACAGTAATAAAACACATAGTTTTACTACATATAATTCATAAAGAATCATACTCTGCTTATAATCACTAACTCCAACATGTTTTGTTCTCCAGTGAATGTAATTTTTCTGCCTATCCTTCCCATATTTAAATCATTAATACCTTCTGATGATTCCCAATAAAACTTGGGAAACTAAAATTTAAATAAATACATCATGATAACTTTTTACAACAAAATTTAAAGAAATAGCATATTTGCAACCTTTCTGGTTTCAACATCATCTAAACCAAATACTTTTGCTGTTAATAATTTCAGTGTATAATCACTTTGTTCCCTATGTAATTAGTAACCGTTATTTTCAAATCATTCTCAGTGATATTCATGGGTCTGCAAATCTTAGGATGTAATAGTCAACTGAACTTCAGTTGATTAATAATCAAAAACCTGCTAAAAATTATGTAACAAAATTGCAGCAATCAGGAAACTACAAAGCAGATTTGGTAAAAGCAGGAATTACATACAAAGAAATCAACTCTTAATCATCTATAACAGAAATAGAATCTTCAATCACAAAACACCTAGCTTGGAGTATAGTAACATTAACTAGTTCTCAAAGTTTTTCCCCATGAGATCATTGTCAAAAAACTGAAGCTGTGTAGGCCTAAGAGAGTGATCAGATCCTTTTTTTATAAAATTAATGTACAATGCATGTATAAAAGTTTATAGATTTGAAAATTTCAGTGCAACCCTCAAATGCAGACTGTTGACAAATGAAAAATATTATCTAAAGCTCTCTACCAAACATGAATTGTCTAACATCACTCCACTCCACAATGTTCAAATTAATATATGTTTCAAACCCTAACTGAACTCTGCAAAATTCATTTGATGAGATAAAGCTAGACTAAACATTTTTTAAAAGGTTTCTGAAAATGATATCCATTTCCACATTCTTACTTCAAAGATTTTGTCCCCTGGAAACTTTTGTTCACATCTCTAAAGATAAATGTAGATTTTACAGCTTCTAAATTGATGTGGTTTTTAAATAACATTATTCCACCAAAGATCCTCTTGAAAAGGCCCATTGAATTTTCTTTTAATATATAGAATAAGAAAAAGGAAAGTTAGAATGAAATAAAAATAACTTATGAAACAAAGTAACTTAGTGACACATCTACCATCATTTAAGGGTTGCACTGAATGTCATGGTAACTTTACGCTTTACAGAGGCATGTCAATTACCTCTTTAAGTTGTAAAGGCTCTATATCTTTGAGTACGAAATTCTGTGCTGTGATTTGTTATTGCTAGTCCATTTTCATCTGTCCTGACTGGATATCCTTCCATTTGCCGTACATCTGTTATCCTGTGGTATCCAGCTTGTCTTAATGCTTCAAGGCCAATATCCCTAAAATGTCAATCAGATATGCTATTTTCTGAACTAGGGTTTCACTGATATTACAATATTTGCTTTGATGGGATATTTCAAACATTATAGTTTTAAGTTAAACGGTGTAAAGCTTGTATTGTGAAATGAATAATAGCCCTTGCTTCTCTTTGCCATAGTGAGAACTTGTGAAAAAGTTATGTAAACCATTAAAAACATGTAGTGCTTTATTGCTGCTAAAAAGCAACTACAAAACCTTATGAATTTTACTCCTATTACGAAAATAAGTTTCAACTGGAGTTTAAGTAAAATATTATTCCAAGAGATATTTTACGACAAATGGCAATTGAATACAACAGTTTCAGGAAGTGAAAAGAAATAAAGTCCTTACGTGTCTTCAAAGCCCCAGCATTCCTCAGGTTTGACGCCAAGTCTACTGGCTGCTGTGATAAATGCATCTGGTTTAGGTTTGTGTTCTTTATAATCTTCATTTCCAAGCACTACATCAAATAGGTTGTCAATCCCAGCTAGTCTCAGGGCTGTATATGAAAAAAAAAAAAACAAAAACATTGATTTTATTGTAGAGAGCAAAAAATCCTGACCAAAACATTACTCAGTGAAGGAATCCATGAAAAGTAAAATGCTGTAAGATTGAACTACATCCAATGGAAATGTATGTAATTAAAGGGCACTTAACAAATTTCCTACTGAAAACTAAGCATCTTAAAAGGTGATAAAAAATGCATCCCGGTAACAGCCACAATGTTGAAAGTGCAATCTCACAAAGAAGTTTATTTAGGTGTTACTAAATGTCATGGTGTTCGTTAGAAAATCCCCAAAATATCACTGGTCAAACATTGAAAACAGTTATTTTAAGTGGCTGAAATTGCTGAGAAAAGAATAGTAAAACTTAAGGAAAATTTTGAGAATCTCTAAATCTCTAGAACCTTCTGAAAAACAAGTCGTTTGTTATAATTACACTTAAGGTAAGTTTTCGATTATAGTTGTAGTTGTAAACCCCTTACGAGAAAAAAATCCTCAAATCAGTTAAAAATCGAACACTTTGCTTTAACCAGTATCATCGCTATTTAGTCAAAGTGAAGTTTTGAATAATTTATTGCCGGTTTAGCACCTGATTTTTTACCGCGGTTAACTACCATCTCCCGTTGAATAAAACGTCACGAAAAAAAAAGGGGCCCAAACCGATCTCATCACCAGCTGAAGCTCAGGTTTTTCGTTCAAATAAGAAGTTGTGTTTAAAATTTACTCTCACCAAATCGGCCCTAAAGACAAAAAAATACTGTTGTTTCAAAAGCGCTACTGCGTACGTGCTCCATCGAACATTGTTGACAATAGCACCGACACCACCTGTAGGTAACCAATCAAAATGCTCTATTCGCACACACCCTCCGCACTCCTCCAAACTCTCATGTTGTGATCGTTCTCAACTTTCATAAATATTTTCGACACAATAACAAACACAAAATGCCCAACATGAAAACCCGATGAAGAACATGTCGATTGAATGAGCTTCTCGAAAACAAAGGGGCTCTATAAGAGGTTTTTTGGCTAATTTAGGGAGTTCTCGGTTAAATAAATGAACGCGTTCAACTTCCATTGTTTTCCGATGGACTTTGTACTGCATATCGAAAGGCTTCGATATTTTCTTTGTACAAGACAACATTGAGTTATAGGGAAAAACGCTGATACGACAAAGCCCCGAAAAAATTACAAAAATAAGATGTTCTTTTGCTGAAATTTGGAACTAAACTGTTTTAGAAATAATTCGTCTGAGGGTATGTCAGGGGGCGCGGCCATCTTGCTGCTCAAACTAAATATCGATTAATGTAAATAATCCAGAATCTTGTGTTCTAAACTACAAGAGCCTACACAAAACGCTCTCCACTATATCACACAGGTATCCTTAATGATACTTTTTAAGATTCGCTACTTAACTTAAGGGTATTGTAGCCAAAATATCGAATTGTAGGGTTAATACCTTTTTGAACTTGGGTGCGCGAACTTCCCGAAGCAACAGCGATTGGGATTCCCAATCTTTGAGCTTCTCGAGCGATTCGTACAACACATGGAATGGGGGCAACGGACGTTAACCCTTCAAGAAAGTACTTCCTTTTTCTGTCGTAAATAACGAACGGATCAAGTTTGATTCCCTGTTGTTTGGCCAGAATGTTGATAATCTTCTTTCCGGGTACTCCCGCTAACGTGTAGAAGTCGGTTTTGTGGAAAACGAGTCCTGTCTCTTTGCAGATTTTACACCAAGCCCTCCAATGAATTGGCATTGTATCCACAAGAGTACCATCGCAGTCGAAAACCAGGGCTTTTACTTCTGCGGGTATAGAACTAGAATCAGGAATCATTATCCTGAGGGCTTTATCTTTAACCTCTGCGAGGGAGAGGTTGTTATTGATGATAAAACTGCTATGTGATAACCCGGTCCGGCCGGTCAATCCACCAAGCTTAAGTGCTTTTCGCTTCGACAGCGATTGTCTAGAGATCTCCCTCGGCCCCTGATTTGGGTTCTGGATGGATTTCTGATACGTGCAAAGCTGCACAATCCTACGAGAACTCGAACCTCCGCTGTTTCTTGGGAAAGCACAATAGCTATGTAGTTTTCCCTATGTCACATGGAATGAAATGTACCTAGAATCGTGACGTCACTCGTTCGTCCAATCCGCGTTCGTTGCTTTTTATGATATTGAAAAATACTCTTCCCAAAGGTCTGTTTAATTGCTATGACTTTCAAATCAGCCAACATCATATTTGTACCTCTTATTTACCGAAGTGAGAGTCAACATCAGTGATTCAAAAAAATCAACCCACATTATACTTTAAAGTAAACAACAGAAACAAGAACTGTTTTTATTACGCTGAAAGGACTTACTGACATGCAATGTCATGGCGTAACCGAAGTACAATACCATATTGAAATTTAGTGCCGATATTGCGCCATTCTTTGATTCCTCATTAATCTATGATAGTATGTGGCAAACGATAAAAAAGTAACATTCATTGTAGCGGCAATCATTAATCGCGGCCATTACAAAGAATATTCAATTTCTCCATCCCAACTTTAAAGACTGAATTGTTTTCAACATGTTTTTTTACTATCTACTATGCCATTTGGGGTTTGTTTGTGGCGTTTAAAAAAATAATCCTCTTAGAGAGGTGCCGAAAAAACATTATTCCTGCACTTGGCAGTTTTTTTTTTTCGGAAGGTTTTCACTCGTAACAAAGATTATTTCAACTTAATTAATATCTTAAACCAATTTCTGCGCAAATCACGAACTTCGGAGCATTTATTCATATATATCCGACCTATCTTACCGAAAACTTATGTCTATTAGACCCTACTGTTTTCCAAATACGAGTGCTTTAAGTGAAATGTTCTTTCTTCAGGATCAAATTTCAGTGGAAAATACTCATTATGCAATCTCCCTCGGGCATATTGTACTTATCATTCATCAGCAGATTATCTGAAAACAGATATTTGTTCCCGTAAGGAACATAGGGCAACAAGTTTCGACGTGTCTAAGCATTTAAGAAGCAAACAGTCAAGAACCCTGTGGATTCAACTTTGCGTCGGGAGTGAAAAATCAAAACAAACCAGAAACAAAACAAAATATTGAAAACAACACATCTTATTTCCCAATATCCGTTTTCCAGCCCCGGGCTAAATTAGACCCAGGCTGGGAGAAATTTGGTTACGTCACGATAAGTTTACCTGATCCCTCCAAAAGGCTCTGTGATGATGCCCCTCATTGGCAGTTGTTTGGTAGGCTATTTTAAAAATACTCATATACAGTTCCCTATGTTTACTGTACTCATTTGGCGATTACTTATCCTCGCACGTTCCCCCTGAAATCCATGAGATCTTCTCCCCCCCCCAAAAAAAAATCCTCCGGCGCCCTGGCTGTTCCCTAAACGAAATGTGTTTCCAAGCAGACAACGAACAGTCCCTGCTTTTTTGCGAAGTCTGTCGCGCGAGTTAAAAAAAAACCAGTGGAAAAACGAACTGATGAAAGCATACCGTGCGGAACTCGAGGAGTGAGGGGCATGAAAAGTACTTTTCCAGAGTTACTTTCCGAGCGGCTCGCTAACATCAATTTTTATTTGAGCGATTTTTTTTCTTTTGATTCGCGCAACGGACTTCGTCGGAAAGGAGGGACTGCTCGAAGTCTAAGTCGTTTTTTTTTTCCTCTGTAAGTGTGGAGGTTGTGAGTATTGCGTGATCATGCGATACCTCAGATAATAAGCTAAGACAGATCTGGCTAAGATCAATTCAAGTCCCAGACAGCATGGAGGGTAGCATAGAGAGGCTCCGGTCCTGAGGCCCGTTTTACGCACAAATGTTTTGAAAAATTCATGCATTACGTTACGTATATAGCAGATAGTATTCCATGCGTCGCAAATTTAAGACGGAAAACTTTAAATCTCACTTTACTTTACCCTTCTTTTAATTCACGCGTCGTGTTTTAGTTTTGGGCTCTATCGCGCGTTACATATAAGTCCTTTTCCGCCCTGAGGCCTCTGGATGAAAAGAAAGACAAACTACTTTTTTAGGCTTTCAAATAGCTTGTTAATAATAGAAGAAAGAAAATGTGAAATAAACGATGAAGAATGTATGTACTTGCTTTTTTACTTGCTTCTAGTATGCGAACACCAAATTACCATGTTTTTTTGTTTGTTTGTTTGTTTGTTTACCAAGCCACTCTTCACATTATTGATCTTATAACGCTTGTCATTATGAACTCCTTTCCTTTAGGTCTGGCACACTACTGAGACCCCAAAGGTCTGAGGCTCGATCCCTCATGGAAACTCAGAATTTTTCATGATCTTCGTATAGAAAATTTGCGTATTTCCTCTAAACGCACGGCGGGCCTATTTCTTATGGTGAGTCGAACTGGGCACGAATAGAGGAAAATACTTTGTAGCCATAGAAACAACGCATCAAACGTTGTCCGCCATTTTGGCTAAAGAAGAGTCGAACAATCAGTAGAGAAGCAACAAACCTCGAAGTTACAGCCCACGATCGGACTTCTAGTCCGTAAACACATCAAGAAGATATGGAGGTAATACAACTAGTTGTTTCGAGTGTTATATTTCCATATGCAGCCTTGTTTACAGTTGAATTTTACGTATCTATTTTTTTGTTGTCGACGAGTTTTATAAATTTACCGTTTTATCGGTGTATACTGTTTCAGACGGACAAAAAATCTCAAGATCTTAAAGAAAAGCCAGCCATCGAAGAAAATGCCTTTGAAGCTCTTGAGAGAGATTTTCAGGAGGTTTGTATCGAGAGAAAAACTCGATTTTTTTTGTCCCTGAGTCGAAGTTTTAATGTAGCCAGTTCTACAATGCAAGAAAAAAAGGTAATTAATTTCTTATCTTTCACGTTTATAGGTTCTCGGGGAACTCATGGGAGATAAGAGTCTTGAAAAGTTTCGCGTAGAATATGAAAAGTTGCACAGAGCATTGAAAAAGTCCCACGAAAGTGAGAAACGTTTGATGCAAAAATGCAGAGAGTTAAATGCAGAGATTGTGGCGAACGCCTCGAAAGTTCAAACAGCTTTGAAGCTCTCTCAGGAAGATCAGACCACGATCGCCTCACTAAAAAAGGTAAACATACGTAAATATGCAGGTAGCAGGAAAAAAAATACAACAAAGAAGTTAAAATATCATTTAACCGCTTGATAATTTTCACAAGTCTGCTGTAGCTCAATAGTAGAGCATTCGAAGTACTTACAGCAAGGTTGTTGGTTCGATTCCCATTTGGCAGCACTCAGAGATATTTTTTCCGAGTATGTCGGTGTCATTCACTCCCTAACGACAACTTTAGACTAGCAAGCATAGAGCGATACAATATCGTAAAAGAAATAAAATCGATAGAATGGAAAACAGAGTATCTACACTACTCGTCACTAAATTACTTAAGGTCTTGTGAAGACTACATGTAGATCAATGGGGTCGTAAAATTCAGACTATACTCAATTGGTCTGATCAGAGCTGATACCGTGATTGGTTGGTTCTTCAACTCCTGTTTGCTTAATTCAATAATATAGTTAATGTTGTCTATGTTGTCATGCACCTGTTAACCCTTTACAGTCCCAAACATCAATATGCATATTCTCCATGCTGTTCTCTATACACTTCCCAAGTTGCTGACAAGGATTAGCTTAAAGAACCAGAGCTTCTGTAGTTTTTGATCATTTTCATTATTCTTATGACCTTAGTGCATGATTCAGGGGAGATATTGTAAGGAGAAATTAGATGCTAATCACTCATAGGGGTTTAGGGTTAAGTTATAGATCACAGAAGATACCAAAATGTGGGAAGAACAAAAAAGTAGCACACAAGGTGAAGCAGAGTGTGATGCTGATTTTCCTACCAGATTTCCTTGTTTGTTTTTGTAATAATTATTACTATACAAACCTATAGCAACTTGGAATTTATTTGTTTTATATGTTATAAAAAACTAAATGCTATTGATACATATATGTGTCTGTCCTCCAATAGATCATTAGTAAGAACCAATCAGAATGTGTATATAAATTAGCTTATTTTATAACTGTTAGTGGATCATGAGTGTTAGGGTTATAAGTGGAATCAGAATAAAATGGGATCATTCTCGTTCTCCCAACTCCAATTTGATCTTGTTTATGACTCTGCTATAACTCTAATGTTCAATTTTCACATGTTTGGGCAATGCTAACTATCACTCAGCCTCTGACTCAGTCATTAGGGATACCAAATTTGAAGTTTTTTCCAAGAAGACAGCTAAAAAGCATATAATATATTTGCTTCCTTTAGTTTACTTCATAGCTAACAAGAGAATGTTGTTAGGGCTTGGATAAGGGATTAGTTTGTCTTCATTAAATGTAATGTTTGTAATGTTTTACTTAATTTTTTTTTGGTATTTGTTATTGTTGCTGTTTATTTAGGAAATAGAGAAGGCATGGAAAATGGTGGATGCTGCTCATGATAAAGAACAGAGAGCAAGGGAGACAATTCAGTCTTTGAAACTTGAAATTGCAAATCTCAGCAAACTTGTAGAGCAAGGAGCTGGTTTGACCATGGGTCAGGATCATAGGTAAGATTAATATGGAAATTCCCCTCTTTACTGCAATACTTTATACAGCAAATAATTAATAAGTATAAATAGGTAAATCAGGTAAAGGTTCTTACCTTGATCTTATAGTCTGGTTTTCGTTAGCAATGCAAGCACAAACACAAGCACAAATGTAAGTACAACAGCTCACCATGAAAACAGCCTTGATGCAAGCACAAGCACAAGCAAAAGCATAAAGATAAATAAATTTTTCCTTTTTCTTGTGCTTTTCTTAATATTTGTTTTCATTTGGCATATAAACCTTATGCTTGCATTTGTGCTTGGGTTGTCAATGAAAACCAAGCTTAAAGGAGAGGGTTAGAATTTTCAAAAGAGTACAAACCATACATTGTTCTATGTGATGGTCAATTGAAAGAATATAACCTAAAAAGTAGCAATGATATTTCACAGTAGTAAAGATAAATTGGAATAGCCAGATGCGTTATCATTTTAGTTCAGATTTAGTGTGCTTGCACCACATTAACACATGGCTTAATATGATTTACTTGGAAAATCCTACTAGGTCTTGTAGCATTGAGTCCACAGGCTCATTACATTTGTTTGAATTTGTAGCTCTTGGGTAAAGCTCACTTTTCTCACTCATAATTACTGATTTATAATTGTATGACAATAACTCAAATGAGTGGCTTCATCTCTTGAAGTGTGAATGAGCTGCTTAAAATCAAGGATGAGTTGACAAAGGAAAGGGACGATAAGCTATCTGAAATTTCTAAGGTAAGGGTTTTTTCTCTTTTACACAGCCTAATAAGATACATAAAAAAATTACTCAGTTCTGATTGGTTAACATAAAATTATGCAGTTTTCAGGTAATTCAATGCAGAAAAGGGTTAATTCAATGCTCGTGCAATTTTCTTAGTCTTTGAAAAAATTTATTTGTGCTTGTTTATTCCAGAGTGCATGCCAAATCATGTGATCACCTATACTAATTCTGAGACAGTCCAAAATTTCCTTTGTAGCTCTATCCTGGGAGAAAAAGGAGCGAAAGCAAGCAACCTTGCTCCATCTGGAAACCACAAAACTGTTTAGAGTGCCCTTTTTAATCATGGCTTTTTTTGTTTTACATAGTTGAGGGAAGAATTGTCAGGTGCAACTACAAAACAACAGAAAGCTGAACAAGACAGAGAAGAGGCTGAGATGAAGATTGCAGAGGTGGGTTGATTTAAAACAATGAATTTTTACAAGTCAGCAATTTTCTTTCCTTAGATTTCAACCAAGTATACCATGTTCATGCATTAATTTATTATGTGCAGTCTAATAAATTTGCAAAGTTTAAGAAAAATAATTTTCTAAATCCTTAGAAGTGATGGATCTGGATGTCCTTTTGAAGTTGCAGAATTTGTCCAACTTGGGTCCCTTATAAAATCCTTATGTCTACTAAATATACTCATGAAACTTGACAAATTTAATGATATTTGTATGATTATCTGAGCCAAAGGGCTGATTGAAATGTATTAGTGAAAAGTTGGAAGCATGATATCCACTAAAGGGGTCCATTAGGTTTTGAGATTGATCAAAGACAGGTTTTCATTTTTACCTTTTAGATAAAACCATGTGTGATTGTTGTTTCTCCTTCAGCTCAAGGAAGATATTCAGGTGCGAAGTAATGAAGCCCAGCGAGAAGCTAGGAAAAAGGAGAAAATTGAAAAGGAGTTGAAACAAGCAAAGAGTGATTTGGAAACTAGAACTGCTGAACTGAAAACAAAGGCTGGGAATCTTCAACGAGCACAGGAAGATATCACCAAGCTTGAACAGCAACTTAAAGAACAGAGGGTAAATTTGTCTCTAGTTTATATTTAATTGTTATTTGTCATAAAACTCTCATAATCTTGTGTCAAAATTTGAGCAGTGAAATACAAAAAGCCTTCCCTTAACAAGTAATGGCTGAAAAGCTAGTGGACTTAGATGAGACTTACTTATGTTATATTATTACTAGTTGTTGATTATATTTTGCTTTGTTTTTTTAGATCTTGAATGAAAAAGCCATGAAGGATACAGACTTATTGAATGCTCGCCTTACAAAAGTCCAGCAAGACTATGATCAACAACTTCTTAGCTGTGATCAGCTGGCCACAGAAAACACGCAGAAAGCTGCAGAGTTGAAGGCTAAGGAAGATGAAATTAATGCACTGAAACAGGACACAGTACGACTTACAAAAATGAGAGAAGCCATCCAGAGGAAGCTGAGAACCATCGAGGATCAGAAAATGGAGGTTGAGCAGCAGAAGGAAACTCTTAAAGGACAGATTGCTGGCTTGGAAAAAGGTCCGAGGAATGATGGCTTGATGGATTTAGTGATTTTGTTGGTTGAAACTAGACAGATCTCATATATATATATCTAGCTTTCATTTTTCCTCAGGTCTAAGTAGGCCTTAAAAAGCAAAGTCACAGCCTTAATTATGGCTTTTCTGTAGTTTGAGGGTCTAGCAATACTGACAAGGTCAACTACAAATTGCGGCTTTTTCCAAGTATTATCCTGTTGCATAGGTTATCTTTGTTGTGTGATTAGCATTAACCTGAGCTACAAGGCCATTTTACAGTTGTGAACTTAGTTGTCAAGCCTTTGATTTGGAGTGAGGCTGAAGGTGACCTTGTTGTGGTAGAGACCAGTATCTAGTTAGCATGATGACAAAGTAATTTGCATTTGAAAAGCAGCAACTGAAGGTAATTTTATCATAACAAGGTCAACCTTAGCCTCACTCCTGTCTAAAGGCTTGGCACACAACTGTAAAATGGACTGAAGAAGCTTTTCAGGCTTTGATCCCGTGTCTTCGAGACACTAGTTGGGTGCTGCTACCAACTGAGCTACGAAGCCACACGCTGGGAGCAGGGCACATTTTAAAGGATTCTTCTTTCTCGTGGAGGAATCTGATCATAATTTTCTTTCATAAACGTTATTTCATTAAAAATTATGATAATTATTGTGTATTCACTCTTTTAGATTTGTTCTTTTTTACTGTATAAACCATTCTATTCTTTTGTCTCCATCAGAACTTGAATCAAGCAAAAAACAAGCCGAGGCGGATAAAAAAGCGATTGATGATCTCGTCCGTGAAAGGGACATCCTTAACAAGGTACTTTACCCTTAAAATCTGTCAAACCCTAAATGTCAGGTTGTGATTTTGAATCACTGTTTGATTTTTAATTGATATTTGTTATATCTAATAATTGCAAATCATTTTTTATTATTATTTTTAGAATCTGTTGAAAGCAGCCGGTGCAACCCAGAAGCAACTTGGTCTTGTGCGGTTACACGAGCAAACCAAGAAGAACTTGGAGCAAGAGATTCAGGTGGGAGCACTGTCAGAAACTCACTTTTGAAATATTTTCTGGTCTTTTTAGGAGGCCGTTGGTTTTTTTTTGTTTTTGTTTTTTTTTGTGTGTGTCAAACATTCTCCAGTTGTAGTCAAGATACTCATGTTAGCTTTGTGAACTAATAATTTACATGTTAATGATATTATGAATTTTTTTCTTCTCATTTTTGTGCCAGAAAATTAACTTGTGAAAAAGGAAATACCACAATTTTCAACTTAAGCTGTGTTCGCTATAGGACACGAAAAATGTGTAACCATACGTTCTTTACTGTTATAGAACTACAAAGATGAAGCTCAAAAACAGCGCAAGATTATCTATCAACTGGAGAAGGAAAGAGATCGATACATCAATGAAGCAAGCGAGCTGACTCAGAAGGTTCTACAACACATGGAGGATGTCAAGGTCCGTGAGATGCAGATCTTCGATTACAAAAAGAAAATCGCCGAGGCTGAAACGAAATTGAAACAACAACAGGTATGTTTGTAGAGCATACTAAGTTAAAGTTAACTACTGATTTTTTTTAATTTAATAAAGTAACGCGAAATTATGACCTCGAAACCTTGTAATTTTTTAAGGAAGTTGGGTTCTTCGTTAGAAAGAGTAAATGATAATTGTTTTTTGTTTCACTGAATTACTGTACTTATTGATAAAGAATATATACTTGGCTTGTAATTTGGTTTGTATTTTGGAAATTTGGTTTAAATTTGTGAATAAGTGGTGATAACTACGGGTTAAGGGTATTTTTTGTTTGTGCTATGGAAATGTTCAAGGTTCGCTTATTCGTGTAACATCTTCGGGTAAACTAAAGAAATTAAGGAAAAGTTAGTCTGGATGATGTACTTTAAGTCTGCACCGAGCCTGGCAGTGCAAAACAACGAACTCCAAATATTTATTTCTTACAGAATCTCTACGAAGCCGTCCGTAGTGACCGTAACTTGTACAGCAAGAACCTGATAGAGTCCCAGGACGAAATCACCGAGATGAAACGGAAACTGAAGATCATGAACCATCAGATCGACCAACTGAAGGAAGAGATCATGGCTAAAGAGGCCGCGCTGGTCAAGGAACATCTGGAGCATCAGAGGGTGGAGAAGGAGAAGGACGCACTCAAGGCTGAGCTGCAGAGGATGAAGCAGCAAGCAGCTGAATCCAAGGCTTATATCGAACAGCAGGAGGTTGAAGAGAGGAAGCTACTTAAGATCATCTCTGAAGCTGATGCTGAAAGGCTCCGGCAGAAGAAGGAACTTGATCAGGTGGGGCTCATACACAGGCGTTATTCGGGACTTATTGTTTAGTCCCCAGTTATGATGGACACTACATTGTTTGTTTTGTTTTGCTTTGTTTTCTTTATTTTTTTTTCTCCTTACAATGTTTAAACCCATTTTACCTAATTATTTGAAACCTTGCATTTCTTATTCTAGGTAATAAGCGAGAGAGACATTTTGGGAACGCAGTTGGTCAGACGCAACGACGAACTGGCTCTACTGTACGAAAAGATCAAAATACAACAGTCAACTCTTAACAAAGGTGAGGCTAGTTGTGTTGTCCATAAACATTTCTGTCAATAGTTTACTTCCTTCGTACTTAAATGAGGTCTGAAACATCGTAGAACAGGATGTTACTTTCCCTTGTGGTTCATCCATCGGAGCCGAGGTCTTCAAAAGGCAACAACTTTTACCCGGGTGTAGAGTAAAACATTGTTTTGGTATAATTGATTTGTATACAGTTTTTATATTTACTTTGTTTCCTACCCTTGCCTTACCCTTAGTTAACAACGGTTGACGTCTCGTATTGTTTTACACAGGCGAAATTCAGTACCGCCAGAGGTTGGAAGACATCCGATTGTTAAAACTTGAAATTAAGAAACTTCGCCGCGAGAAAAACATCCTTACAAAGAGTGTAGCGAACGTAGAAGATTTAAGGTAAGGATATCTTTTCCCTTTTTCCTGGAAATCGATGAATCATGAGTGAGAAATCTAAGGCGTTCGAAGAAACATCTGTAGAAAACTTGATGTTTGTATGTTTTTGGTTTCGTTTAGGCGAGAGGTGTATCATACCCAGCGTGAGCTTCTCAGAGAACGAACCCGATGCAAGGCTTTGGAAGAAGAACTCGAAAACCCGATGAACATTCACAGGTGGAGAAAACTTGAGGTAATTTAAAGATAGAGCACTTTTCAACTGTGTGTCGAAAACCGAAACCAAAGTAATTACAACCGCCAATCAGAAGAACGAAAAAATATCTTTTAAGAGCCAATGAAAACTCAGAGTGAAAACAACCACACTGTCCAAAGCGCGGGAAAGCGCGGGCGACCAAGCCGTGATTGATTGAGAGAGTGTCGCAGTTTTCTGAACCAATCACAGAGCGAAGTAAAGCAAAACCAATGCAGATCCTCGATTACTTTCGATATTCAATTGACGATTGCTCTGTTGGTGAATTTAGTTACATTTGAAAGCAAGATCATTGAACAATTACCTTTTATTTCCACAGGGAAGTGATCCGAGCACGTACGAAATGATTCAAAAAATACAAACTCTACAAAGACGACTTATACAGAAAACTGAAGAGGTTAGTCAGTGTAATGTTATTCTGTTGCGCGTGCATCCTGATACATACTGATGTTTAATGGCGCTCTCTACGACGTGATAAAGTGCTTTTTGGTAGAGTGTTATACAAGTACAACGAAAGTGAACATCTCGCCCAGTAAGAACAAAGAGAAGTATCGCAGAGAACCAGTTAACCAGAGTTAAAACAAGTTAACTGTCTGAAACGCTGAAAAGTGTAATTGGTTTTAATTTTGCATCTGGTTGATTTAGAGACTGGCACATCTTTTATACTCGACCAACGACATAGTGAACTAAAACAAATAAATGTTCTACTGAGTTGTGTTTGAAAGCCAAATAAAATTTCCGCGGATTTGGCGCGAAAAGCAACTTCCTCTCTCGACCCTTCTGAAAACAAACAGCTATTTCTTAGGAGTTCATTGGCTTTTGCACCTCTCCGAAACGAAAGCCCTACAGCTAGATATTTCACCCCTGGACTTGTTACCTAAGATTTTACATGATGCTAAAATACTTGCTAAATCTTCTCAGGTGGTGGAAAAAGAACTCCTTATCCAAGAAAAAGAGAAGTTGTACATGGAATTAAAACAAATCCTAGCTCGTCAGCCCGGGCCAGAAGTGGCTGAACAACTCAGTATTTACCAACAAACACTCAAAGAGAAAACAAAGCAGATGAAAGGAATGTCATCTGAACTGAACATGTACGAGGCACAAGTGAAAGAATATAAATACGAGATCGAAAGACTAGCTAAAGAACTACAGGAAGTCAAGAAAAAGTTTTACATGCAGAAAAGAAAAGAACAACAAGCGAGGTAATAGCATTTGTTATTTGACTGTTACAGTGTGTTTCAAAAGACCGCAAAAAACTGTTAGAGGAGAAATTTTCAAAAAAAGTGAGAGCAAATTCCAGCTAAAAAATATTTTTAATGCTTGGACGAACCACTTTTCTAAGATTCCATCAAAACAACTGGGCGAACAAACAAGGCTGCATGTTGACGCCGAACGAGAGCTCTGGAGTGTTAGAAAAGTGGTAGTCCACCCATTAATTTTTTTTTAAATTATTCCTCCAACAGTTTTTTGCGGTCTTTGGTAGAAGATGCAATTTTGATCTGCTTAATTGCAGCAGCTTTTTTGCATAGATCAAACAGTTGTGTTTTTTTTCCTTTGCCGCCATCACTTCACTGAATACCTCTCTAACAAATAGTTTTTCACTCTCCCATATTGAATTTCGAGAGACTTTTGCTCATTTTCGCTACCACGGCACTTTATTCTTTATGCCGATGAGAGCGACTTCGCACTTAGCCTCGTCCTCAAGCCGTAATTTCGGTACCAGATCACTGAAACGAGAGAACTAGGAAGTGGCCTATTGAGTCTCGTAAACGAAGATCTGGGAAAGCTCAATGACCCATTAGAGAAACGGCAGTAATCACAAGGAGCTAGTGAGAAATCATGGCCAAAAAAGCAAACAAACAAACAGTCTGAAGCGCAGGAAAACGTGAACAACTAGGCGATTGGTTTTGGTTTTGTATCTCATTATTAAAGAAGATAGCGCGAGTTTTCACAGAGCTGTTGAGAAGCTCCTGTACTTTAGCTACCCCTCCCTTACTGTTCCCTTTTTGTTCCGCACTGCTGCTCTTACGTCTCGACAGTTTGAGTGTTTAATTGGAAGAAACCCGTCAAACAATAGCATGCAAGGGTGGAAAATCGCTATAAAGGCGAGTTAGAGTAAAACGAAAAAGTGACAAATTATGTAATGACCTATTCAGCTTACAATTTCCAAGATGTGAAGCCCTCTGGTTTCGAGCCAGCAAGCGATGCGAATGCGAGGTCTGCGAGGGTTTAGAAACCTCTACCATACGTCTCGCACGCACGCCTCGCTCGCTGGCTCAAATCTCGAAGGCTTCACTACTGATGTCGTAACGCTTCGGGACCCTATTTGCAGGCTTTCTCACTCGTGCCTTGAATTCATTCTAAAACTGTGTCATGTTGTCATTTCAGGGAAAGAGACAGAGCTTACCAACAGGCCACTGGACCCGCTTTCTCTCCACAAAGAACGGATGGACCAAGGTTCACTGGTGGTGGTTTTAATCTGAAGCCTCCTGCGAAGGCCGTAGCATAAATAATCGACATTTTATCTGTGAATAGTGCAAATAGACTTTCTGGAGTTGTATATAACACTTTAAAAATAACCATGTCAAAACTTAAATCTAAAGCACGCAGATCGAGTGCAATACACAACTAGCGTCTTGGAGTATAACACGTTTGTTTGAGAACTGTGGATGCCTCAAGACTTTTAAGAACACCGATTCAGGTTATGCGCATATTGTGTCTACTATGTTTTAATTGGTTTATTACTTTTTTTTATTTCCTGCATTTAAAAAAGTACAAACATGGTTTGGGTGAATATATTTTAGAACAAAGCCTCAGTGTGACTCTACTTTTTTTCTTTTTTCCTCTACTTCTTTTCCTCGAAAGTACACGGCCCTCCAGAATCAACGAAAACAATTATATGATTGAATTTTAATCTAACGGAAGTACTGTTCGTTACTATCCATTCCTTCACTCTCCTTACCGGAGGACCTGTTTACAATCCATGCCTTGGTTTCCCGACGATGACTGTCCCTCACCCCCACCCACTCAATTTAGCGGCTCCTCCAAAGTTACGATAATGACACGTAAAGTTTATAAAGTAACGAGTTAGTGTCGATTTGTGAGTGCATTTCAATAGTGAGTAATATAAGAGGAATCCAAAAGTTTAACAACGAATGATCTTTTCAAAAGGGAGTGTACATATGCGTTGCCCATAGTTGACAGATGTATTCAAGTGGATCGTGTATCATTCGTTTATCACAGGACGAAATTGCAAGAATCCGTAAACGGAAACGTGGCAGAAACATGTTAAACCGTTCCGGAAACACGACGGATAACCTGTGTTTCCGTTACCGGTTTCGTGACGTTTTCTCGCGTTTCCGTTGCTACGTATGCAACGGAACCGGAGCACTTTTACGTAAACATAACGGAAACATGGAGTTGCATGTTTCCGCCACGTTTCAGAAATACGGAAACATGTGATTTCGTCCTGTGTATTTGCTTTCCCTTATAAACGCTGTTACTTACGGCGCTGTGTTAAACTTAGCGCGCGGGCAGCGAGAAGCCTGCAAGATTCGAGAGGTCTCCAAGGGTCAACACGGCGGTCAAACATCTGCGCATGAGCGAACGTTGTAGAGGCTCACAGCGGCAAAACTAGTGTGCATGCTTGTAATACTCGAGCAATTTTATGTGCCCATAGAAATGACTAAGACAATATTTCTATGAACACTGCCGCAGCAAAATGGCGGACTTGTCGAACCTCCTCGGTCACATATCTCACTCAAAGAAAAAAATGTTGCGGTAACATATGTGAATTTGGGATTGAAGTAAAGCATCCGTAACATGGTTACAAAGTTCGTAGCGACTGCTCTCGTTTTAGCTGTCGGGATGAATTTAAAACAACTGACTGATGAACTATAATTAAATGAACGCTAATTTCTCTTTAGTCCTTTCTATAAGAACAAACTGCGTTATATTTTTCCACTTGGTTCACATCAGTATACAATCCCAAAAGTTATATAACGATGTTCTGTTCGTTCCTCAACAAAATTTATTCACGCTAGAATCACTAAACGCTCCTCGAACGCGCCAAATCCGTCGAGTATGCGCACTAATTTTGCCACTGTGCTAGGCTCGGTGAGGCTATGTATGGCTAGGTGGCGTGCTTTCAAGGATTTTTAGAAGTCACTAACAAGTCGTCATATAAACAAACCCGCACACAAGCGAGGAAGTCACAGTGTTTATAACCGTATAACGTTTTCGTTACAGCTCAAAACACAATGATAAATTAATTAGCAGGATAACCGTTGGTAAATAGGATTTGTGTACGAAGTCTCGAGCTTTCCTTTCGAGTATTTGACGTGACAGCGGTTGTGTTTGTTATCTTTTCCTTTGAAATTTTTGTACGGAAAATTTGGGTGCGGCTGGCCAAAATTGATCCCTTGCGCATGCCCTTCGTATGACCGATGTGTTCTAAGGTTTTGGTACCGAAAATGCGACATGAAATGTAAGTGTCAGCACCCTCGCGGACCCCTTGCGCGTACACATTGTGTGCCGGCTCAGAACGCGTACGCTTTGCCGCTCGCGTTGAAGCTCCAGTGATAGCCTTCTCGAAGGCTTTGTGAATAAGATTCACTGTTTTGAAGCGTGGAAAGCTGGCCATCACCTGTCAACTTATTCTGACCCACACGGAAAACAATTGACTCCCAGATAAAATAAAAAAACTAACAATAAAACAATGACAACTTTTAGTTAAAAGTCAATTCTTTTGAATAAAATTCTTTACTTGACAAAATCGCAATCGCACAATTGTAGAAAAAATAACTCTACCTAAACCTACTGTATCAATTTTTTCAAATTATTTGAAATGCCAAACAAACAGGCGTTTCTTGTACACTCTATAAATACATGATGTCTTATTTGCACCCGGCAGTTTCAAACTTCATGTATCTTAATAATGAATGAATATTATCTCGTATGATATAGATATTTTCCCAAAATTCGACCCAGATAAATGTCTCTGTTGCTTAATTTGTTTTTTTTCCCAGACCCCAAAGTTTCAGGGGCTCAAAAGAGTTGTAAAGAAACTGGGTTCAATTCGGATCATTCAATTTGAGCCTTTATACCGTTCAGTTGTACAAGACTTGTAAGATTACTTAAACAGCAGTAGTCTACACTGCTATCATGTTTGATTGGCGGTAAAAAGAGTGTTTTTCTTTCGAGCTTTAAATGTAGTGATAGCCAGTGCAATGCGAACGCCAAAGTAATTAAATTAGTAGAAGAAAATCAGTAGAAAATTCCAACAAAGCAGATTGAAATTCACAATTAAGCCTAAACGTCCACTGAACGAGATATGTTGACAAAAAAAAAAAAAACTTTCGCACCTCCATAACACATAACTTCCTACTGCTTTACAAAATTCAATTGAACTGATTTCTAAAAATGATATTCAAGCTATAATAAGATTAGACATGTCCATGTCTTTTGGTCGATATTTACTAAATATCATTTGAACGTAACACTGGACACTGCGCGGTTCCGGTTTTTTGAGACGAACCATATCTTCGACGTCGAGGAGAGCAGGTATCCCAACAGAACTGAAAAAAGAAACACACACAAAAAAACAATTGATTACTAGATAATCAGCCACGATTATAGCTCGCGAGCAGCTCCTCGTTATTAGCGCTTCAGCAAGGGCGTTTCTTCGCTCGCGGAAAATTGTGCGACCTTGAGACACGCGAACCGGCGAAAGGTTTACAAGAGATCTAGCATTGCGTATAATGAAAAGAACAATAGCGTCCTTGTAGCCCCTCGCTATTAATGCCAGCCTTTTGGCAAACCTCTCCCCAACTTGTCTCCAATCTTCCTACGGGCGGCGAAACCAGCGTCCTACAGCGCTAATAATGATCGCAGGCCACCGCCATTTAGGCGTTTTCGGCTGTCTGATTGGCTGCTTATAAAACAGTTTAAATCTTGCTAATGCGTGAGGTCTTAAGCCGTTTGACCGTGGGAAGCCTGGATAAGAGACTATGGCACCCTTTCCCGAATTTGGCGAATAAAATGACAAGACTACACAAGACAGATAACAAAAATAAAGTTAATGATCTGAAATTGTTCACTGTCAAAAAGCAACCAAGTTAATAATGTTATGTCTTAAGTATTTTCATATGCTGCACGGCCTGAAGTCATAACATTGGTGCGTTCCACGGTGAGTGATCTATTCTAGCGACAGAAAAGGCTTTTTTAAGACAATTTCAGGGGGAACAAAGGAAGGTGAGCGCGATTTTTTTTTTTTCATTCTTGAACGAAAACACACATCATTTCTTATGCACGATGACTTCTTTGATAAAATATTTGAGCTAACCCTCTTTCGCACTAAAATATTTTCTTAAACTTTTCAGTTTTCTAAAGATGCTTTTGACTGTTGAACAAATTCTCCGTGTAGCACCTTAGGAAATATATAGTGAACAGTATGGAGAATATGCTTACTGATGTTACGGAATAACAGGTTAAAACTTACGTTCCAGTTTCGAAAGCCAGCTTAAAGTTGTATTCTCTATTTTCAGCGGATAGCGAGTTGTAGTCAAACTTGTCTGGGTTAAATTTATGGATCAAAGCACAAAACGCTAAACCATTACTAAAAGCTCCGCTGAAGTTTGTAATGTTTACTCCCTGGAAAACAACAAACAAAAATTACTTGTCATTGAAGATTTCACAATGTTAGTTCGGTGAGATAGAGAAACGCAATTGAGGCAGTAAAAAACCAAGAAGGAACAGATAGCCTAAGATGGAGAAGGTTTGAACGGATTGAAAATTATGAATTTGAAAATTTCCTAAAATGCGAGAACCTGGGACTTGAATGCACCATTGAATACTTTCTCATTGTTCTTTTAAAAGAAAGCTGAGCGCGCTTCAGACACCATATGTTTTATTTTATTTAAATTTACCGCTTCGGGTGTCCCGTAGAGTTCAAAATCAGATCAAAAACTACCTTCAAATATGCGCAAAATTATTTTATGGACGCCGCTATTTTGAAAATAACTCAATAACCTGGCCGCACATGTTAATGACGTAAACAACACTGGGTGGTTCACATACAGATGCTGGACTGATTGTTTGACTAGCTCCTCCTTCAAGATTTCAAATGGAGATGCACATTGAAATATTTTGAAGTGGTAATTTTCCGGTTACAAAAAGCCTTTCTTTCCCCTTCAATGTATCTTGAGTGACACTATTGAAGCGCACTATGGCCTCTTCTTACCTCGTATTCTTGCGTGACATCTTTACACCACGTCAAAATCAACGAAGATACTGACATCTGTCTTTTGAGTTGAGGTTTCTTTTTTAATTCTCGTGGACTGTACAGAGAACACCAAAAAAAAAGAACATTCACATGAATATTTCATATCCTCAAGCACTACAAAGAATGGTATAAGGGTAAAACAGGTTTCGAAATGCAAAACCTTAAATTTGTTGGTTTTCCAATTGAAATAGCCGCTAAAAAAGCGCCAAAAATACACGTCCAGAGTAAAATTTCGACTTATTCACTACCACCAATTATGTACGTTAGGTTATGCAAGCACTGCAGTTGGACACAGATTTGATTTGGCAGACGTTGTGACCAAACCGCGAAAATGTTCTGAAATGTAAATACGGAAGTAGAACGACGACGATGCATACTCGAAAACGACCCACTAATGGAGCGCAATAAACATCAAAACCTAGGCCCTAAGTTAAGAGAAGATCTCAGTATCACTACAAAATCACCGAATTGCGTTTGTCAAAGCTCGACTTTTAGGCCGTCTGAAATGTATTAATGTACTTTAAATCAGTAGCACTGTGAGTGGTAAAGGTTTCAAACGTTCCCATCCCCTTCCCCCTTCCTCAATTGTAAAGTAATCAAACGTTTCTACGTACGCCTTGTTCGGATCCGGAGCCTTCTTAAGGGAGACTTTTTCTGTTAGGCTTGTTGGAGTGGTGGCAGGCGTCGTCGTTGTTTGTGACGGAGCTGAGGGACTGGTGGGTGAAGGGGCAGTAAACCTGTTGACAGGCGCTGTTGGGGATTTAGCTACGAACTGTTTCTCCTTTGCTTTTTTCTCGTCCTCGGCAGCTTTTCTGAAGAAGGCCATACGATCTTTCACCGAGCCCATTCCGCCACCTCCTCCTCCTCCTCCTGGCCGTCCAAACTTAGGAGGCTCCTGCGTGAACAAAAAAAACAGACGTTAAAAAAACAACAAAAACACATAAGGTGAACATCTCTTTGGCCCAGCTTTTATTCTTTTTTCAATATACATGGTAACTTTAATTTTTTCAGATTATTAAAAGCGATTTCCTTTTGTTTCGGTTCCCATTGTTCGAAGAATCTAATCAGACCTTTTCAGCATTTGCTCCTAAAATGAACTCCATGACGCCAGTTCTCAGTGATCGTTGTACAATATAAGTTCTATTCCACGATGCAATATGTCACCAAAGCAACACAGCACCGTTTCGGAAACACCCTGAATAACGATTTTAGCCTTATTTGCCTGAGAATCTTTAGTAAGCCCGCAGGTATCGACTTTCATCATCATCAACAACACTATTACTACTGCTATTGTTATCACTGATTTCAACGTTTGCTTTTTAACTCAGCAAAATTGCGATCAGGCCCTTATTATAAGCGCTTCAGACCGTGCGTTTCTATGCCCGCGGGAAAGACTTGAGAGGAGTCCAGGGGTTTGGCACTAATAGTCCCTCATTATTAGTACTAGACCTCTTGAAAATCTTTTGCTGTCACGCGTTTCTCAAGGCCTCGTACTTTCTCGCGGGCGGAGAAACACTCTTGCCACGCGCTTATTGTGTTGGCCTGTTCGCACGCTTGGGAAAAAACAACTTAAAATACTGTAATAAGAAGTCTTCTCGGCTGAAGTCTTACATTACTAAAGTTTGTCTGTGCACTGTTATCCAGGAATACTTCAAAACTTTAGAGCAGGAATCTAATCTAGAACAAAATTTAGTTTGTAAATCTCCAAGCCGACGGTAAATTTTAACTTAAATGAGGCTAATGTTGGTCCCTATTCATACATTAAGAGGGCGAAAAAAAACCGTCTCAAAAAAATCCAAAACATAGCAACTTACATTGGCTTTAGGTGGTAAGAATGAATTAGGCCTGGGAGGCCCAACCCGCTGAGAGCCTGGATCAGACCACTGCCTTCCAGGGCGGTTGGATTCCGCATTTGTATTGGCGCGTGGAGGGGGTTGCCAGATTCTGGCCTTGGGAGCTTCCTCTTTCTGAAGGGGAGTTTCCATCCTCTTTGGAGCTGCGTTGTCTTCATCGCCAAATCCAAATCGTTTCTTTGCGTTTGGAGATCGCGGGCTCTCCTGGATAGCCGATAGTTCCGTTTCGTTGCGGTTGCTGATAGTGTTTCCTTCGACCTTCAGCTTTTCATGGCTCTCTTTCCGCGAGGAGCGCCGAACCTTTCTCTGTTCTTTAACCTGCTCATCGCCTTGTGAGGTGTTCACTAGTTTAACTGTGTCGCCACTCTTTACGTACATCAACCCTTCCAATTCCTCCTTCCTCTCGATCTCACGAACAGACCTTCGCCGGCCACGAAGCCGCCCTAGATTCTGTAACAAGTCTTGCTTGGTCTTCGTATCCTGATGAGTTTCCACAGGCAAACGCTTGAGCATTGGTGACGAGGATACTGTCGCTTGTGGGGGTGGGGTAGGATTTGTAGGTTTTGGCTCTCTGTTTTTCCCTTCATGTTCAATTTTGAACAATTCTGCCAAAGATGACCTCCGCGAGACTCTTTTCGGAACTTCTGTTTCCTTGTCGGCCTTTTTCACATCAGTGTTGTTGTTGAGGTCTTGGTCTTTCCGCGGTCGTTTCTCGTCAATGCTGGATTTCACATGATTGGTCTGACGTCTCCATGAGCTACTTTCCGCCTGGCGGCTTTCGCTTTTATCTTCGTCTTTATCTGTCATTTTGAAACTAAACGTGCTTCGTGTACTTCTGGGTTGTTGTGGGGCAACGTTCTCTTTCCTGGCAGGACTTTCTTCTCTGTTAACGCGTATGGTTCTTTCTTCGTACTTCCTTTTTTCTGTGCTATTCACAGACATAGTAAATTTTGACGACATGGTAGTTGTTCTCGTGTCGTTGGCATTAACATCTGTCAATTGTTCTTTCTGGTCCCTCACAGATCGCAATTCCGCTCGGAGTTTCCTTCGTTCTGTGATATTTTTTGTTCCTTCGAGCTGCAAAAAGAAACAACAACATTGGATTGATGTGTTAATCAGCACTTTCTTGTGGAAAATTATTTGGCCTTTCGTGGCCATATAATATAAAAACAAATTTCGGTAAACCTACCAAACTCTGTAAGAATCACGTATTTCTGGAGGTAACTGAGCTACGCATTTACATTTAAAGTGTTTGCATATACTCCTCGACTTCTTCCTAAAATATCTATACTCCAAATATTGCATTTCTAGTTTCTGATTGGTTTACTCGACTCCGGTTATCAGCTCATTTTCCAAGTCACCTTACATGGAAACGCATTGCGCCAACTGTTTTGGAGCAGAAAAAAAGCTCTAAATATCGATACGTCCAGGATTTCATGAAATTTAGTGAATCAATTATTCCATTCGCACTTAATGAATACGAAATTGGTTGGAGATAACTCGGCGCTACACGCCTTGTTGACCATTTATCTCAAATCCAACTCGCGCTTATGGAATAAATGTTAATTATTCAGCAAACAGGTGATACGGATACTCAGTTTGATCAGGTAGAAGTTGTTACCTTGATCTAAAACAAAGTTCTCGTAACTACGTCACAAGGAAATATGTAGCAGCTAATGGGGAGAATTGACAAAGGTTAGTCCTTTACACCCCAACACCAGTAGGCATATTCTCTATACTTTTTTCTAGACATTTCTTATGGCATTGACAAGGAGAATTTGTTTAACAATCAAGAGCTTCTTTAGTTAGTGATAATTTCCTTTATTCTCGTGGCCTTACTGCTTGATTCAGGGACGATATTGCGAGAAGAAATTGGATGCCAGTCACTCTTAGGGGTTAAAGGATTTAAGGACCCTACTCGAAGCTAATATTTATGTATCGTTCCTGGCGCTTTCTTCATACCTTAGGATTCAAGGTGAAAATTTCCAGATTGTTGTAACAGCATAGAGTTCGACGTGAGAGGAGAAATTTAAACATTTTTGGCCACAAAACGTAATTCACCTGCGCGTTTTGAAAGCTACAATGGAGGTCTGCTAAACTGTCAGTTTTAATACACCCCAGGAGCTACCTAACAACCTCTTTGAATCAAAACTTCCTCTCGAAACTTCTCAAACCCGTTATTTTACAACATTTGATGATATTCCCAGTCCTTAAGAAGTGTTGTTCCAGCGTGGTTTATCAGAACCTGTTCTGCCAGAACTGATTTTTCTTCTCTCGGAAAGACAGATTACTTCTTTCCAGTTAAATGTGATGTTAATCACCAAAAATAGTTAAAATGTTTCCGTTATAATTTCCAAAATACTCCTAATTGCTTGAATTCCAGTAATGTCCCGTGGTAAATTGGTGAACTGACGCTCTGACATGTATTAAGTACTAAGTTTAGCACCGAAATGAAAATAGCACACAACATTTCTGATGAAACGAAGCAATGTTGATCATTGAGTTGATCACTCTCGGAAAATTGTCTTACCCAGATATCGAGAATTTATAAATAAACATTTACATGTCAACTCGCATTTAGCCACAGCGCCATTTTTTCTCGAAACCAACAACCTCTCCGAGCTGTTATGTTTTCATCATAGTAGCACCAGTTTATTGATCTAAACTCTACCGGACAAAATCTTCAAGAGTTCGAAACTTTTCCAAATTTCACTAACTACGGTAAAAATGCTCTCTTAAGAGAGAAGTTGCGGAGCAATGCTACGAACACGTTTCGCTCTCTTGGTGCTGACAGCAAATTTCTTTGACACGATTACCTATTACAGTCGACAGTGACTATTACGTAGAGTTCCACGTGAGAAGGGCCCCACATGTGCGATACGATTAAGATCAGTTCAGAATAATGCTCGAAGTACCTTATTACAACCAGACTGACTTGTGCTAATCTTTATCAAAATATAGTTATCATTCATATTACCGTTTGCCAGCCTATTCTTTCGCTTGATAACTAATAGTTTTAGTTGCACCAATTCTCCGATGGTTCTAGACGTTGACTTTACAATGATATCAGTTACAGAATATTCCCAAGAATTTAAGTGACGACCTGTTCATTAAATTTGAATAAAAATATATTTTTCACCGACGTCAATCGAAGAGTTTTTGCAAACTTTTAAAAGAGAGTTGAGAGGTTTCTCGGGCAAAAAGTGTCCTTGGCGATTCCAATTTGGTGCAGTATTGCAATGGTTTCGCAGGAGTTTCGTGATGATCTACAAAGGTTAGCTTCAGAGGTAACGACGGAAACAAAATATTTCTATTAATGTGAAATCAGTGTGTCTCAAAAATATTTTATTGCCTTTAATGGTCAAGAAAAGGAAGGATTAGTCAGAGACGAGCTTTGAAGAGAGATTATACGAAATAATATACCATATCACGGATTATTGGGAAATAAACGAATTATAAGGCTTTATAAGTAATATCTCAAATTATATTAATTAAATATATCTTAAATAAGACTTGAACCATGTAATAAATGCAATGACACAAAGATGCAAAATAAACACGTTTCAGTGAAAAATAATTAGGAATATATTGGTCAATCGGATTCCGTGATTATCTTTAATGTTGTTTAGTGTTTAAGAGAGTTTTCGCAGACGCAACTTCGTCACACTCCAGTAAATCGTTCCTTTAGCGAGTATATTGAAGTATAATGCAGTATGTGATTTTGAAGCAACTGCGGGGGTCTATGGCACTCTTTTATTCAACCCCAGCAGTCAAGCCTGACCACAGCAGTTCTAAACACACTTACGTTTTACATCATTCACAGCGGTCAAAACAAGTAGTTATTACACACCCATATATATTTTTTTTACACTTCCTAACGAGGACCCAGCAAGAAGTAAACATTATTCTGCTAAAAGTAAATAAATTGTATGTAAGAAAGGCAGTCGCCTGTTTTTCAAGGCTGCGAAATCTTTTCGAGGTTTTCAATTTAGTTTTTTTTAATCCAAATCCAACATGCTGTTATATATACCCTGCAGCATTTTATTCTCTAAAGATTCCTGATGTAGGCACTTGACAAAAATTTTAAGCATTGTTATTTATTCTTCCTTTGATTAGCTCGCATTTGCAAAAATAGTTCATTTATCCTTCATTGCGTGTTGCGCAAAATGAGCGCATTTCAATAAAATCCTAAATGATTTCTCGACAAAGGCGCTTTTTTCCTCAAGACAAAGATCAAGATTGCATAACGAGTGTTCCAGAGGGCATAGAAGCGAGTTCTTCAAATTATTAAACGTTATCTGATGCAAAATTCACCAAATGATAGATGCGCCAATTAGACTGAAAACATTTCTTGTTTGAGACATTTTCAATACAAAGCGCACACAATACGCGTGGTAATTTATAATGCAAATTGACGCGGTTTAATATTCGATTCCTAAGTGACACTTAACCATACAATGAGTTCAACCTCTTGCGATGGAATTTTTCACCGAAGCCGCGTAGACCGGTAACCGTCTGAAAGTACCACACCAAGGTCAATTTGGATTAGAGAATTCTACCGAGGCGTCGACTCTAATATTTAATCGGATTGCACTGTAATGCAAAGAAGACATGGAAACTTTGGGCTGAAGAAAAAACTGTGAAATTTAAAATGAACAATAAACATTTGCACAATTACATTGAGATGAGCCTAATTAAGCGATAAACCTTGATTCCTTTGATTAAAAGAAATACTAGCAAAACTAAACGATAACATCAATTCAAATAACTCGCACTGCAGTGTAACGACACTCGATCCATACGAAACTGGTAGTAAAAGATAATTCATTTTATATCACATGCAATGTAGGTCGTATGTTAATCTAAATAACTGCTTCGCAGCGTGGGTCAGCATTTGTTCTGAACCATTATCATGTTTTGTCACCAGGGTCTCAGTATTCTTCACCGGAGAAAACAGAAGTTCACAGAACGATGAAACACGATCTAACGGAATGGTGGCAGTCATGGCAATCCAGCGATGCGAGTACCGCTTATAGTGCGGCGCTTTAAAGTTTATTTCGTGTCCGTTTTGTTTAGAGTAACCTTAATAGATAGTGGTTATCGGAAGACGGTGTTATAAAGCCTCACTGGACAATAACGCAAAATACAGACTAACATTGCTGAGAGCTACGTTCCCAATGAAATATGGTATTTATGCACATAACATATTTTGATACAATGGTATGCTTTTTACCCTAATTGCGGCTAAGGCCTCCAACTCAGTAATGTGCAGTCAAGTATAAACCCTCGACAAAGTAGCTCGACTTAAATTTCCTTCAATATAAGTCAGCACATGGTTTCGTGGAAATATTCTGCCAAATTTCGTTGCAACTCACGCGGTTCTAACGATGCCCTGTTCTAAACAAGAAATTTGGAAGTTTATATATCAGGTCTTGTTAATCGCCTGTAGCCATCGATAGCAGTACATATAAATATTCTCAGCCACACGAACGATTGACTACTGCTAACACAAAGGAATTGCACTTACTTTTTGCTTGAGAAGGGATTCTTGGTGGTTCAGTTGCTCAAGTGTGGCCATATTGATGTCCTTCGATGTTGACCCCTGTTCGAGAAAGCGGAGTATGAGTAACAGCTGTCTGAATATTAGCCCGCTTCCCGCAACTCACATGCTCTATTATACGTATTATCAGATGGAGAGTTGAATTAAGCTATTACCAGAATGCAAATCAAGACGCTTGTTTGTTTTTCCTGTGTCGTGTGATTGAGCGGACAAAAGAATACAACACGGTACACAAATGAAAAATGTTGACGTCTGATGACGTCAAAAAATAAACTCAATCTTTCGTCGCTGTAACGCAAGTGTTTTAAGGTTTTTGTGAAAAGCACACGCGTTATTGTCAGTAATTCTGTTGATTTGTTCAACTTAATCTCGACTTAAGATCACAGTTTATTGTTGGCTT